TTAGAGGTACTCGCCCTGGTTTCCACTAGGAGTTGCGCACAATAAGCATAGCCAGGGTTTAGCGTATAGTGTCGTGTGTTTACAGTATGGTATAAGGCTCCGTGTGTAGAAAGATCCTCAACTGCCAAGGCAAGGACAATCCAGGGCTGGTCGTCGCCCGGGTGCCGCCCGGCTGCTCTTATAATTGTTGGCTTACGCTTTCCGGTTTGGGGTTCTGGGTTTACACCAAAGCCCGTTCTGCGTTGGGCTTTACGATTGTGGAGTTTCTGATCTGGTGCTAATCACGGGCCTCCAACCCAGCAGTTCCAGCAGGCCTACTCTCCTGCATTGGCCGTTCTTCTGCGAGGATTTATGTTTAGAGTGGTAGTCCTGTGGGAAGGAAGCTGGCGGGGCCTGACAGCGACTGAGTGCCCTGGAGAGAGAGAGAGAGAGAGAGAGAGAGAGAGAGAGAGAGAGAGAGAGAGAGATTGTGGGGCTAGGCTTCAGTGTTTACAATCCATGATCTAACCTGTATACCAGGGCTACACATAAAATGTACATGGCTACCCTGCACTAGCTATATTTGTACCTAGTCATAACCCCAGTACTTACCCTCCAAGAAGGGCCAGAAACCAGAAAGCTCCGAGCCCACGTGTCACTGGAGCACGATCGTAGTAATGTGTGGATTTGTGGGTGTCGGATGGTATGAGTGTAGACTAGATGTTGAAATTGTTCAAAAGGCTGTTCAATTGGTTCCCGATGTGAATTTAGTGTCCTATGTCCACAAGCATTCGGCTAGTCAGGTCTGGCTACGGACAAACTGGACCGAAGCATCCCGGCCTGCCTTCAGGAGCTTTGTAAGATCTCAGGAGTGCTGGAAACCCAGGTTGAGGGGTAGCCTGTCGAGCATTAACGCATGGGGTCTAAACTTAAGCCCAAATCTTCGTAAGAAGCTTGTATGTTTCGGGAGTACCTCTTGTGTTCGCTAGCAAAAATCTTGTGTCGGGATGCTGGGCGTGGAGCAACAGCCGACTTGGGCCTACTAGGGACCGTGGGTGAGGATGAGGATGATGAAGATGATGATCTGATGTCGGCGATTCAAGTTGATGCTACTGCCTCCATTGCTTACACTTTGTTTTGCTGCTGAGGCCAATACTCAGATTTACCAAAGCCCCATGGCTGTCTGAGGTGGATGTTATTGTCAAGTGCATCTTTATGAATGGGTTTTTTGAAGCATTGTTTACAACATCCCCCAGGTCCAGCGAGCCAGGCTTTGCGTCAGTTTGTGAGGGCGTCGGTGGCTTCCGCTTCGTCAACGGCCCCCTTTCTGCATGAGAGGCCCCGGCCCCTCAGCCCCGACACCCCAAAGCTCGTATCATCAGAGGGTTGCAGGAGATGACAGCTCAGCCAGCCTTGATCACCCTTCCATGCGAAGCACTACTAAGCTTGGCGCTCGAGTCTGCAGGCCCAAAACACGGGCTTCTCTCAAAGAGACGTCTCATCCTCGAAGCCTGGGCTGTTTCCCCGAATCACAGAATGACTTTGCATGCTGTGTACTCTGTAGGTATAAAGGGAACTCCAGAAAGTTGGAATATGGAATAATGGCAGGATCCCCTATATTTTACCTTAAAGGGGCTATGATAATGATATTCCAACTTTCTGGCTTCTACTGTAGATTCAAACTCCTTGCGAGCTGAGCCCTGGGCCCCACCTGGTCTACCAACCATGTCAAGTCATCCCTGCAGGACTTCTTGCAACCTTTCAAACTTTCTGGTTCCCCCCCCTTTGAGTATGAATGGACATGTGGGCCCTTATGAGTCTCCAAGAGGACCAGTTCCGAAAGCCTCCTAACCACAAAACTGGGTACCCTAAAAAAGGGGTAGGGTATGACCCTCTAGGTAGTCTCCAAGGTGTGCCCGGAGAGCCTCCGGTGCGGCCAAACCTGTCTATCGGAGACACCCTTGCCGGTATGAATGCCGTGCCACTTTGGCTTTTAGATTCTAGATAGTTTTAGATTCAGAGGCGGGTTTTTGGTGTCTACATGGTTTTTGCATTCGGGAACTCGGTTTTGGCAACCTCAGTTGGCGAAAGGGGGTGCATAGCAGGCCCCTGACTTCTAACCCCCTTCAATAGGGTTGGCAACTGGGTTCCAGCAATACCTATAGTCTCCATTGTAGTTCCTTTTTTTGGTTTAACCAGTATTATATTAAGGATCCTAAAAGGTATCCCCCAAAAGGAACTACAATGGAGACTATAGGTAAGATGCAATCAGGCCGTTAAGAAACGAGGGTGTTTACAACCAGAGCGAACCTGGGGTCTGGGAGTTCAGACTACACTTGCGGTGGCCGAGCCCAGAGAATCTGGGAGCGAAGCAAGAAACCTGGAAATCTAAAACTCCTTGACCCACAGAGTATTCTGAAAGCATACAGCCTGACTTCAGCCTACATTCGTAAGCATTTCGTATGCTGTGGTACGTTGCAAAGCATTCAACATCGACGTCGCGTCGATCTTGGTAACGGGCGCACACTACCAAGCACTTCATCGCGACAGTGTGAGCATGCGAAGACTTCCTTCAGGCCCCGGTTGGCGACCAGATCCGGCTTTGAAACAACCCATGATACTTAATCTCGTTCCAGCTGAGCCTCAACCCTAGACCCTGATGCGCACCCCAAACTTGAAGTGACCTAGAATCTGATTCTTTAAGGTTTCTGTTTTTGTTGCATTGCATACTGGGATTGTGCAGGTGTTCCATCTTGGCTGCATAACAGCCGGGTGTTCGTGGTTCAGACGTTCAGACTTCTTACCCGAAAAAGCCTTACGGGTTCTAAACCTGAAAACAAGTTAGAAACATGCTCCGAGTACCTGTTTCGCCCGTGAAAGCAAGGCTGGGCATTCTTCTGGCCTTGCTCAAAAGGGGCCATGGGCTTAGCGGCATGGGCGGGGGACGGGCGAACACTTGTTTAGAGTCAACGAGCAGGGGGCGGACTTCGGTGATTTGTGATGTGGGGGTTGGGAGGTTTAGAGTCTAGTGAGTCTAGTGGCAGCATTCAGGGCAGCTTAGAGTTGAAGGTTTACACTCAGAGCTGAAAGGTGACAGAGTATTTAGAAATGTAATTGTTTTCTCGTGCCCATCTTAGCCTATATACTCGTAACTACACTATTGCGGCCCTGCACTAACACCCTTAAAACTTACATTGCCCTCTACAACTAAGCCACTAGCAGTGTGCAACAAAACTATATGTTGCTTTTTTGGGCCCCGATCTTGGAGGATTCAAGGGGGTTTGGCTTGAGAATGTTTGGGACCATTTAAATGTGGGAGTCTCATACACCAAACCCGCAGTTCGTTGCTTTGCGAGACATCCCGGGTATAAGGTTTGGGGTTTGGGGCTAAAGATGCGGGGTTAGGATTCAGGGATTCGAGACCCTGAAGTTAAGGGTCGGACTCCCGGCAGACATTAGTTGCTGTTATGAGGCTCTAGGAGTTTTAAGTTTTAAGGATACGCCTGAAATCTATCCCCTACATACATGCCATGCCGTTGGGTCCAAAAGTGCATGGTCGTTAGGATGCATAGGCAGCATTCGGAGAATCACGGCAGGAAGGCCTCTATGCGGCTTTCAATTTCTGCATAAGCCCAGGTCAGAGACTCTAAGCCGTAAGCCCCCGGAGGAGCTGCATGCTTCAACTTGCTGTGCCAAACAAACCTGGCTCAAAGCATCCTAGCATATGGGAGTTGCTCACGACCGTGCTCAAGGGTTTTACCACTGCTATTTGGTTCCGAACAAGCTCGCCAGAACCAGGAACCATGCACAGCATCCTGAGATGCAGTGACAGCCTTCGCATTTTGTTTTGCAGCACACCTCAACACAAGCAGCTTCTGGAGATTTTTCCTAGTATATATAGGGGCTGAATAATTACCTAATACTATTTTGGGGGTTCCTTATAAGACTATGTTCTAAGTATGAAGAACCCCAACCTTAGTCTTTAGTTTCGGTTCATCCTCTTGAATCGGACATCGGGCCATCCGTTGCTTGAGACCTCTGCGTCCAAGCAGCTGGCCGGTGTACAGGACAGTGGGCGAGCGTTGAAGTCATCGCCCTAAGGCCCCATAGTAGTTCCTTTTTGGGATTACCTTATAGGATTCTAAATATGAACCACAAAAAGGAACTACTATGCGGCCTTAGGGTAGTTACTATAGTTTCTTATGCCGAACTCCGCAGCTGGTTGCTCCGTTGTTCCTTCCGCTCAGCATGCCATCGGCATGGTTGAGTCTTCACCGCACGTCCGTGACCGTGTCACGATTCACTGTGCCTCCAATCCGTCTTGTCATGTTTCGTGTCAATCAGCCGCAACCTCACTTACATCGTTGTATGGTGGTCACGTCGTTTTTGTTTTGTGGTGTTCATGGTGCGGGTAATGATAAGAAAGACAGTGAGACTTGACGGGAAGGCAGCTATATACATGTAGACCTTACCCCGAGTGTCCATGTGCCGAAGAGTCATAGGCTCTTCTGGATACCAGCCTGTAACAACTGCGAAATCATTAGGAACTCTGTGTGGGCCCTTGAACCCACGTTTAGAAGCCTATGATAGAGCAGTGCGCTTGCTTGTCAGGTGTTCGGGGACTTTGGAACATTTCAGTGGCCAGGCCTCTCACTGAGCCCCTAAACCCTAAACCCTTAGAACGATGGGCCAAGTCTCCCCTGGTGGGGCTCAGACATCGGTGCCTTCGAAGTAAAGCTTAGCGGCTCTGAGTGCTTTCTCAGAGTAAGGGTCCTAAACTGGTTTATACGGTGTATACAAGAGTGAGCAACCCTCATAATACAGTACCTCAAGATTGGGATCCTCCACCTACCCTTGAGACCCCAAAACCTACCCTTCCCACCCAAGTATAACCAAATCCATTGGAGGCCAATGCAAAGTGCAATCGCAAAGCCCCTGAGCCCCAAACCCTGAATGAGCTTCGTGAGCTCATAAACTCCGTATGAACCGTCAAGGAGTTCTTGGCGTGCTTTGCTCCGCCCATGGCATCCTTGCAGGCTACCCGGGATGAGGAGGTTTTCCTAGCAGTAGTGAAGGTAACCTTTAACTCTGTTGGGGTACTTTCTTCTCTACATAGTCCCAATGTACTCCCGAAGGTTAACCTTTAGTTTCCCAGGATACTCGACAAGTGGCTATTTTTGGACATGGAGACGGGGCAACGTTCTTGGTTTGACTGGGGTTTGGGCCTTTGGGTTTAGAATTTTGGGGATCGTGTTTTGTGTTTGGCGGCCTTAGGGGGGCGGCTGGCGCCTTTGCATCTAGTGTAGTTTATAGGCATAGGCTAACCATTGATATTGGGGTAGCTAAGGAGCCAGGGATCATGATATTTCTTATTAAATAAGGAGCTAAAGAGCCAAGGGAACCCCAAAACCACTGGTTAGTGGGGTTAATGAATTAAAGGAGTTGTTTTGTTGAGACCAGAATTGTCGAAAGCCCGAGACAGGCCCCACGGGTAGGGTCGCCAGGGCCTTAAAGCCCAAACCCTGTAGACCCTCAACCCATCTCAACCTCAAACCCGAAACTAAAGCACTAAACCCTCAAACCTTCAAAGCCTAAACCAAAGCCCTAAACCCCCAAACCTTCAAAGCCGAAACTAAAGCCCTAAACCCTCAAACCTTCAATTCCTAAACTAAAGCCCTATAAACCGTAAACCCTCACACCCCAGCCCTATTCCCGGAGCCTGCAGACTTCACGGGACTCCCTCGGAGCCCTGACACATCCTGAAACTTTAAAGGGAACTCCAGAAAGTTGGAATATGGTTTCAGGGTAGGATGCCCTATAATTTACCATAAAGGGTGTAGAATTAATCATATTCCAACTTTCTGGCTTTTACTTTACGCGGAGGCCTGAGCCCTGCGATTGGAACTTCAAGTCAAAACCGCGAACCCCACGCCCGAAACTTTAAACCCCTGAACCCTAAACCCCTTTGAGCTCACAGTGATTGTGCTGCCAAAAAAGCCTAAACCCCTAAACCCTAAACCACACGACTCTGAATTCTATAAACTCTGGATTGCCGGCCCCCAAACGCCTCCAAACCATCGTTCACTGTGGGCCAGGGGCTGCTGAAGGCCTTCTGCCCAGAGAGTTGCATTGGCTGCTTTCCCTTCGAAGCTCTTCTGACATTCATGTGGGCAGTTCTCTAAATCAGGGTCCTTTTGGGTCCCTTTATCAAGATGCCGTATTATTAGGGACCCTAATTTTGTCCGAAAGTGTTTGGGGCTTTGGGATTCGTGCACAGATTCAGGTTGGAGCTGTGGGTTTTGACGTCCATTAGTCTTTGGGTTCAGAATTTGAATAACCAGAGCTCTGGGTTGTACATTGTACCAGGGTGTTGGGGTCTTGCAGATCCGAACTAAGCCAAGGGGCTGTGGTGCGCTGTCAGATAATGGCCAGATGATAGCTGCAATATCTTGACAAGCGGATATGCTTTGATGAATCAACAAAATGCCCGATAAGCCTGGTTTTCAGTGGAGTTGCCCGACTGATGTTGACGATCGTTCGGCAAGTTGCCCACACGCAGGGACTATCTTTGGGGCTTTGGGGGGTGCTGTCCTGACCAGTCTGACATCATCTACTTTTCTTCCTCACGCGAACAAAGCCTAGGCAAACCCCCTTTGCAGTAACAGCTACCAACAAAAGATGGGTTGGTGTAGGCGTACCAGAGTCCTAGTAGTTCCTTCTTCAGTGGCTGTTTCGTTAGCCTAAATCTGAAACCCTGGGCTACCAAACCCTAGAACTCCAACGGCTGTGCAGCATACTAGATGGCCACACCTATGCACGCGCCATGCGGTGTCCTTTTGCCCATCTAATCCGGCGGTAACGCATCTGGCAATTGCTCCAAGCACGCACAGCGTACTAATTAGGAAATCGATGAACCGATAGTCCGTTGTAGGGATCCTTGAATGCACCCCGCCCGGATCGTCCGCAGTGACTGCTTGCATAAACCCCTAAACCCAGGAGTAGAAAGAGGCTCGCAACAAAAAACAGAAAACCTCGCGCTAAGGTTTTCCAAAGGCCGTGCCTGCCGGCAATCACAGAGCAGCTGCCGCTGCACGATTCTCTGACATCGGAGGGTTTCGATCCCGAGGACCCGGATTCTGGGGTCCAGTCCCCAAAGGGACTATTTTTAGGGGTTTAGGGTTTTTAGGGCTTCAGGGACAATCTTTAGGGTTTTAAGGGTTCAGGGCTTCAGGGATTGAGGATCATTTTTGGAATGGCGTTTCGGGTTTAGGTTTCGATCCTGAAAGGACCCGGACTGGGCGAGGGCCCTTGTCGCGTCGTCCTCCCCTGATATACTTATGATCCTATTCATTTCCGCTTATTCAAAGGTCCCTCTTACTGTCTGAAACTCTATGAGCCTAGGACATCCTGGTGCTATGTGGGGTTTGCATCTTCGGTTTGTCAGTTCCAGGTCCCGGGGCTGCGCTGCAGTCGGTTTTTGCACTGGGCTAGGCCAAGGGTTTGTTGCATGTGCGCATTGGCTTGTTCACGCCGGTGCGCTTGCACACATGCATACATGCCGGGCCGTTTATGGAGTAACTGCCTCCAGTCCAGCCGTGGGTGCAAAGCAGGTCGCGGCACCCTGAGATTCGATGGAGAACTGTTCGTGGCTGTTGGCATAAGGCATGCAGGAAGTTTACGGCTTAGGTGATTGCCGCCCGATGTTTGAAATTCACACCAACCAAAACCATTCGAAAACAGGTTCACGCGCCAGCCGGATGCTTGCTAAGAAGCCCTCAAGCCTCCACCCAGAACTACACCCTAGCTAGCCGACAGTGGTCTCCAGACTAGACGCTAAACCCTGCACTGTCATTACATTCTGGCCAGGATGTTACAGAGGTTCTTTGCAGCCCGAGTCTGAAGGAGGCCAGGGTTCACAGTTTGAGGTGCTTAACGCAATGTAGGGTCGGCGTTTTCGGGATTTTAGGCTCTTCGGTCATGGGATGCTGTTTCTTTGGTCCTTCATTGCTGCGACAGGCTTGATATCTCCATGTTGCGTGTACTTGATTATATAACGAGTTTTCATGTGTACTGGCTCAGGGTTCTATGTGGTATATTTTCCTGGAGTGGCGGGATGTGCGAGAGGCCTTAGGCCTTAGGCTGTAGCTTATCCAGAATTTCGGTGTTAACTGACGGCTTTATTTCTTGTCGTTTGGTTTAGGGGTTGGAGGTCGCAGCGCTTGGGAACAGTGAGCAAACGATTCTGTTGCCTGGCAGATGCCAAGGTCAGGCTCTATGCTCACATGGTTGGTATCAAGATGACAGAGCCCTGAAAATGCATCTCCTTCTGTTGGTTCATAGGTGAAGTCTGGTCAAGGTGTTTGTTCTGTCCATCCTGCCCCTAAGCTAGCCGAGGTAGGCACAGTAGGAGGAGCTTCAGCACAGCGGCTCACCTCTTACACAAACAGCGTTTTGGGATGGAAAAGCACAGGGGACGCCCTGTGAGCTTTGAGAGTAGTGTGGGAGAGAGTTCCTGCACGCGTTGAGGCAAGCGTTCCAACATCTCGGGTATTCGAACCAAGACCGCGATCCTGCCAAAAAACCCCACGAACACAATAGAACCTTACAGTAAACGAAAGCATAAGTTGGCGTTCTTCTGGTTGGCTCTTAGGACGTTAACTTTTTGGGTTTCTACCTGAACCATATAAGGAGGCTAAAGTTTAACTTGCCGGAGGGTTTCAGAAGTCAGCCAAGATAACATCACAAACACCTCAGCCCTTAAACCCTGAAGCCCGATGCGGTTTACTTGGAGGCTCATGGGACTTAGTAAGTAGGGTTATAAGTACCTTAACTGGGGTTATACGTAATTATAAGTATATAGCTACCCTACTTATAATCCTAGTTACTAAGTCCCATGACCCGTTAAGTAGACCCTAAACCCTAAACCTAAACCCTATAGATCCCTTTAAGGGAAACCCCTATAGATCCCTTTAAGGACCACTTTAAGGAACCCTAGTTACTAAGTCCCTAAAATAACCAGTTGCTAAGTCCCATGACCCTTTAAGTAGGGTTTTGGGTCCTCGCGAGCAGGCCGACTTGAAGGTGAGGGTGGACCAACTCCCAGCGAAGCTGAAGCAGGCCAGGGGTCCCACCTTCGGGGGTCCGCTTCTCCCTTTTAGGCTTTAGGGTCTATAGGGCTCCAATTTAGGGCCTTTAGGGCTTACTGCTCAGGGTTTTTGGCTTCTTAGACTTCAATAGTTGTTTTCCTTCTTGTTTCCTACTATTTGCTTAAGAACTTATGGGGGGTAATATAGGGATTATCATTTTTATTTTTTTTGGGTTTCTTAAGCAAATAGTAGTTTCCATTCGGGCCCAGAAAGATAGTTGAGACGCACTGGGCCCACAAACATACTGCAGATGCCCTCGGCCATTCCCTTGGGCAGACCATCTGCATGATGCAACCTACTACTTAGTTAGTATAGTAGAGTAAGTAACCTTTAAGTTTTTGGGGTACTATAACCCATATATAATTCTAAATTACTCCCCTCTGCGAACTTTCAGTTCCCCAGGATACGCCACAAACAAGTAGCACTAAACCCCATCACTTCTTCAAACTCGGTGAAGCTCAAGCTCTCCTCTATTGGGTAGTTCTGTAAATAGGGTCCCTTTTAAGGCTTAGTTTAAGGGAGCCGTAGAATTTGGTGACCTAGAAACGGACCCTCAACGTTCTCGAGCAAAAATCCCCAGAACCTCTGCCTGTGGCTCGATAGCCACGTAGTATACTGTTGGGGGTAGCGTTTGACGCTCGAGGCGACACGGCTGTCGGGTCGGATCTGGGGTCAAAGTTAGTTGTGCTGTGTGAGATGTGGTCTGGCCGTTTGGAATTTGGGAGTTTCCGAAAATTAGGGGTGCTTTATTTTGGGGTCCTTATACTGAGGATCCTACTATTTAGGGTACTATAGTAGGGTCCCCTATTTTTCGGAAACTCCCATTTGGGTCTTCCTGTGTTTGGTGTCATATTTTCTGTTTCTCCGCAAAACCTGGAGATGGGAGGCCCATTCTGCGAAGGTGACTGAAGTCATACGGTTGATGATATCAATCCTGCATTACGCAGAACGAGAAAGGTACCATAATTCCCATAGTTTAGGGCCGCTTAATCATCAACCCTAAATCAAAAAGCCCTACAGATCCCTTAAGGATACCCTTTAAAAGGAACCCCAGGATGTATATCATCCGAGGTACCTTCATCAGGATCATCTTTTGGCTGGGGCTGATGGCTCCCTATGCCCCGAATTCCAAACCCAAGCCTTTCGTCGATCTTCAACCAAAGCGAAACAAGTAGATAGGGTCCGAAGAACCCAGCAATCAGGTATTTGATTTTGGGGGGTGTTTAGGTGTATTAAGGGAACCCCAGAAAGTTGGAATATGGTTTCAGGGTAGGTTACCTAATAATTTACCATAAAGGGTTCAGGATAATCATATTCCAACTCTCTGGCTTTTACTTTAGGAAGGTGGGAACTGTAGGTTGCCTTGTATTCAGTGGAGTCCAATCCCGAAGCCCCAACAACCCTGCCCTTTGCCCCAACGCTCCCTGGGCGCTTCTGCTGCGGGCCAGACTCCGCAACACCCAATGCTTCGAAACCGCCACCCGTAACCCGAATTATTCCCTGAACCTATCAATGCCAGACCCGACATGCCAAGTCTTACAGCCTGAACCCCAACCCTTACGATCAAGGTTTAAATGATTTGAATTATGAGGCCAAGTCCCCAAGAGAAAAATCCCGCCCTAGCCCAGAAAAGTAAGCATCCGCGAACCGAGGAGCTCATGTGCCGTCTTGAAGCCTTCGACGCTCTTGAAGCAGAGCCCAACCCGGAGGTGCGAGCTTTTTGGGTTTTTTGGTCTGAGTCTAGGGCTTTGTTGGACCCAGGAGGGTTTAGACTGTGGGGTCAGGGGTCAAACTTGTATGTCACAATCCCAATTAGGATCCCTCTTGGGGTGCTTACAAGTGTACTTATTGCCTACTTATACTAAGTCCCCCCGACCCTCCAAATAAAGTCCATGCCCAGGGTTCAATATTTGGGGTATTATGAGGCTAGTCGGTTCATTCGCGCCGCAACTTCTTTTTGAACATGTACCGTCAACGGGTGCAACGCGTGCACCCCGCCGCCCCTTGATACTACAAAAGCTGGGAATCACTTGTAATAATACACCCTCACGCATAGTTTCCTAGGTTATACTACAGTGCCGCAGTACCATCCATCATTTAGTCTATTTGTCTCCCTGTCTTTTAACTATCTCTGTTTACTTATCTCTCCATCTAATTATCTATCCATCTAACCTTCTTCTTTCTATCTAATCTATCTATCTGTAAGGTGTACGTACATGTAAAAGTATATGGATAATGACGATATGGATATGTATGTGTATCTTTATATGCATGTGCAAAGGTGCATACATACACATACATGCAAGCAAACATACATACATCACACATACATACTTACATAAATACATACATACATACATAGGACGAGCCAAGTGGGAGCCAAAATACATACATTACAATACAATACAGTACATATTCTTTTGTTCTTTAGCCCCATTACACCACACGACTTGTCTTTTAGTGGATTTCGGGCATTTCTGGAGGTGTCGGATCTTTTCGGGTTTTTTGGTTCAGGATTCAGTGGTTCGGATTTGGGATTTGAAAGCTGGGCTCCCCTCCCCGCATCTCCACGACACCGCAAGGCCCTGGCCATCTTCGCCTACGGCACTTTGAGGGGCCTCTTGAATGAGAGGTTTAGGGGTTAGGGTCTCGCACCTCGGATCCTTGCATAGTCCAGGTGTAAAAGGGTTATGAGAGCCCGAAACGGTGGGTTGTTGTTCTTTAAACCCTATATACAGAGCTTCCAGTACCGATACCCTGGCCCACAGGGTTGAGAGATTTCTTGGCTTTTGCTGCCCGGCGTGATAGGCCCTGCAAGGGGATCTGGGAGTCATTCTGCCTTCCTTCAGCCTGCAGAAAAGAACGAATCCATGCGCATAGGCTGTAGTCCGAAACTCCGTAGTCCAAGCAACACCCGGAACTGACTCAATAGTCGTCTCATGTGGGTGCTGCTGGAGTTAGTGCTGGAACTTTCTGGTTTTCTGACTTGGTAGCTGAGTGAATCTGCAGGAGCCAGCGCCCGCAGCCCTTTGATGCTCCGACTCTGAACTCTCAATGACATTGGCCCCGCAAAGCATGCAGAAGCAATATCTATGGGCGACCTCCAAAACGAGCATGATGCTAGCCCCGTTTTCCCTGATGCTTCAAGAGCAGGAAGAAGCAACTAGAGCTTGGGTCTCAAGTCTGACACTTCAAAACTACCAGCGAACCCCTGAGCCACATTCACCTAGAAGGAGTTCTGCCCAACTAAACTGCTTGTTGACGAGCTAGGAGACTTTGGTCCTGACGGCGACAAGTGGGGCGTGTTGGCGAAGCGCCACGGACGCAAGGGGTTCAGGTATGAAGGGATTTGGGGGTGCAGGGGCTATGGATGGCTCTTTACAGAGAGTAATGGGATGAGCCCAGAAGGCCAGGTGAATAGTGGGCCCAGGCCATACAGGAAGCTCTACCAGTTTACGGTTCAGGCATGATGCGGGGGTGATTCAGGTAGCAAAGTTGACAGCTATATCCATCGCAATTCTTTGCTGAGGAGTGAGGCCACCTGGAAGCCAGCGAGAGTGCGAGGCTTTCGGCTGTACCAGGCATGGGGTAGGGTAAGGCTTGCGGGAGATAAGTGCTCGGAACCCGAAACTCCTAAACCTCAAGCCCCAGGCGCTATTCTAGGGAATGCTATGGTAGCCAATTTGTGCTTGATTGATACTGTCGAAATCTTTCGGGTGTTTGCACCTGACTATGGAGTCTCGGTACATCTCTGTCATTCTCTGTCCATCCGGGTGCCTTTTGATTGAGAGCTTTGGGTTTAGGTTTAGGGGGGGGTAGTTGGCTAGACTTGAGTCCAGTGGCAAAAAAGGGGGGTAGTTGGGCCCAGTAGTAAAACGAATCTTCTCAGGACTGGCGGTAGAAGAGGCCAAAGTCGAAGCAGAGTGCAAAAGTCGAAGACGGATGGTTTCAGGCAGAGGAAGCCACACCTCTATTTCGCCCCTCCGTGTAGGCATGGTCATGCGAAGCTTAGTTGGGGCTTCCTTGGAAGGTCAGGTTCTGGAGCTGTTTCTTGCGGATAAAACCTCGGTCAGTGCAAACTTAGACCGAACCCCACAGCTGGCAGCTTTCACTTGCAACTATAACCCCATGCGTCCCGAGGTTCGAGAGTGGGCAGGAAGGGCGAAGATCTAGAGGGATGAGGTCACAATCGGCTATCCTATTGCGACCGAGGGCTGCGTGTTGAGCTTAAAGGTTTATGGTGGTTCAAGCCCTTTGGCCAGGATCCTCGACTGACCTACCCCTTTGCGGTTCGCACTGGCAAGGAGCCTGCCTGATCGGTTTGGGGCTGTTGGACTTTCCACCAATTAACAGGTTGCGGCTTCGACGACTCGTGGTGTACGAGTTGACCCGGTTTCCTTCAGGGCATCGTCTGGGGGTCGGATGTTGCTTAGGATCAGATCTCGGGGGATACGATAGTACCCCGTAACGACGGAGACCAGTTGCCTCGCAGGACGAGGACGTGATTGTGGGGACTGCCGCTTGGTTACTTAATGGCTTTAGCGTTTAGGGTTTCGGGCATATACAAGTCTGTGCATAAAAAGGGTTTAGTATAGGAGTCGGAGTACTGACGAATAGTTTTCCCTTATAGTAGAATATCCTCCCAAACCCGATTCTAACAGTTAAGGTGCTATAGTATGTGCTTTCATTGGGGACGTAGATTCTGCAGAGCTCAGGAACGTAAGGTTTGCAGTAGGCCTTCTGGGAGGGTTGATTCGAGTGGAAATGTGGCATGAGTGGCGAGATTTCAGCTCGAGGGGCTACACGGTCGGGTCTTTTACATCTGCTTGTGGAGGAAAGGGTCGGGTTTAGAAGTTGTGGTCGTGATAGACATGCGAGGCTTGATACCTACAGCTTCAGCCTTTTACTTCTTTGATGAGTGATCTGCATTTTCGACGTATTGCGGCCCCAAGCTCGTCCAGTTCGCTTGAAAAAGGCTTTGGGCAACTTCGGATAGCTAGCAGCAGCCCCTACCCAACAAAGAAAAAGCGCAGAATGCTGGTCTTCGAAATCCGGGCGAGGTCATTCAGTGGCCATCCGCAGCGGCCGCCAAAGAGCAGATTGCAAGCTGCTTCTTCGCCTGAAGTTAACATACACTAGAGTCATGGAGACCTGACTAATCAACCAGCAGTATTGTACTCTGTCAAAGCCCACTCGTCTATGTTGTTGACTCCTGTTGGCTCTGTTTGGTTTCGGGTCATTCGGAAGTTGTAGTGTTCTGGAGTTCTTGCCCTGAGGGTCCATATGTACTACTACCGCAACGGTACTACCATAAAGAAACCAGGCCCCGAAGCCCTGCAGTAGTTTTTGCTTGGCGTACTTCTACAGCAGTATGCACGGGGACTTTCGTGAATTGGTTGTGCAGATGAGGGCGGCTTTTCTGGGCCCATAGCGTTACTGCAGAACACCAACCGGAACCGGACACCCGAAACTTTTAGTTACATATTCATTGGTTAGGTACTGGCCCCCATACAGTAAGAGCCTATAACAGGGCTACTATTAAGGTCCTAATATATCTATACTGTGAGCAATGTTCAACTATTACTGAGTGGGGGCCGTACCCCATTCATTGGTATTCTAAACAGAAGGCCCAGATCATGTCACTTTAGTAGTCCACGGCCCCGGCAGGCACGGTTGGCAATCCAAACCAAGCAGACAAGTGTAGACAAGTATTGCCGCCTTGTTAGGTCTCGTGGTCCGCATTCAATAAACCCTAGCCAGATGGCTCGAAAGTGGAGAGGCGTCATCATGACGGGGAAATTTCCTAAGCCCTAAACCCTTAAAGCTAGACCCCAAACCCTGAGCGCAGAAACCCTGAACCCCAAACCCTAAACCCTCAGGACGAGTCACATTGGTACGGTCACTTTATGTGTTGTTATAAACTTGTTGCTTCTACTTGACTGTCTCTCCTAGTGAAGTTTCACTCAACAGACTCCGAACCACATGCCTCGCCCGGATTGTCCGAGTGTGAGCGCCGACACCGTAAACCCCAAACCCTGACCCCAAAAAACCCTAAACCACCAAACCCCAAACCCTAAACCCCAAAAAAACCGCAAACCCCCTAAACCCCAAACCCTAAACCCCTAAACCCCAAAAAAACCGTAAACCCCCTAAACCCCAAACCCCAAACCCCAAGCCTCGCCCAGGTAACCAAATCGAAGGTTTTCGCGCAAGCCAGCCTGAGGCCTCCAAGAGTCGAGCGGGTTTCGGGGTTTTAGGGCTGTTTAGGGTTTAGGTTTTTAGGGCTTATAGGGTTTTTAGGGCTTTTAGGGTAATATATGGTTCTTAAGGCTTTTAGGTTTTTAGGGCTTATAGGGTTTAGGGTATTAGCGTTTTAGGGTTTTCGGACTAATCTGCCTTTTCAATCAGGTCTCTCAGTCGCATGCTCAGAAGCTAGGGGCACCGTCACGAGCCAGTCCTAACTGGCGGAAGAGCGGCAAACTACCAGGCGTCCTTGCAAGCAAGCCTGCAGCAAAAAAAGGGTTTTAGGGGTTAGGGTTTTAGGGTGTTAGGGTTTTAGGGCTTCAGGGTTTAGCGCTTTACGGTTTTAGGGTTTAGGCTTTTAGGCTTAGGTATTGCGGTTTTAGGGTTGAGGCTTGGGTTTTGGTGTACAACTGGCAAGTCTTTCGGGATGTTGGAAGTTTCAGGGTTTCCATTTGGTTCGATTAGGGCATTTAGGGTTTTTCAATTTCGAGCCGAAGTTCAACGGGTTCGCGCTTCATCCGCTGTTGAAAAAAGAAAGGCCATCGCCAGCCCCCAACCCGCAACCCCAACCGCAACGGGCGGCAGCCGCCGCAATGCTCTGGTCAGGCTGGTCTTTACCGAAGAGCTTTAGTTCAGGCGCAGCTGTGCCTTGGACGAGTCAAGGACAAGGAGTTTTCCTTTGTACCCTCAGGGTTTGCCTAACCTTTGATATTGGAGGAGCGGCTAAGGATCCAGGGATGATGATAATCCCTATTGAATAAGGAGCGAAACTGGAGCGAAAGAGCCCAGGGAACCCCAAAACCATTGGTTAGTTGTACCCCTGGGTTTGGGTCCCTAAGCCATGGAATATGGCCCTGAATAGGGGTATTTTGGACCCCAAACCTAGGGTTACAAACGTTTAGGGTGCAAACTCAAAGCCTTTGGACGACGAGAAAAGGACAGGGACTGAGGTCAGATACGAACTACCCATATGCCCCAAAGTAGCTCCTTTTGGGATTACCTTATCGGATTCTAAATATGACCACAAAAAGGAACTACCATGAGGCCTTGGGGTATAGATGACTCTCCCTGAACCTAGATCTAAGGGTTTTACGAGAGTTTCGGAAGAGGTTTAAAGGGGTTCATAAGGGTGTAAATGGCACTTTAGGAGTAAATGGTGTTCAAGGACCCCAGGTTTAGGATCTTAGAAAGTTGGACAGTCTCAAGCAGAGCACAAACACTTCGCCATCACCTAGGGTCCTACGCCGCAAAGTCCCGAAAGACAATATAAGGTAGGGCACCGTGCAGTCCGACATCATGTACTTGTAAAGCCAACCATCCAAGCCCTAGGCTCCAAACTCCCGACAACAGAAGGACTGAACATCTCACGAAGCCATAAACGTCATGTACCCCAAACCCGAAACTATTACAAAGGCCACCTTTGCGACATCTGAACAACGTCTCGACAGGCCTTACTGGAGCTAAAACCCTTACCCAAACCCAATGAAATCCTGAAGCCGTAGCCCTTGTCGAACCTGTCCAGAAGTTCTCCTCAAACCCTGAAGCCACGAGCCCTGAACCCTTGCAAAGGCCTACAACCCTAGAAACACCATATCCCTAAATACTCCCACACCTCGACAGCCTTGTGGGCTTGGGATGCGAGCAATGATTGACGACTAGTCCTTTTGGGAGTAAGGGCAGGGCCGGTTGTCTAGAGCTAAGGGCGTTGAAGCTGATGGGGACCGAGAGCAGATTCAACCCTTGAATCTGTCACGTGAGGAGGTTTCGATGCAGAAAACTGTTCCCATAGCCCTGCATACTGAAAGCACCAAGCCCCCAGCCACAGACAAGCAGAATGTGAAACTAAATATCAGCATTCACCGAAAACACGAACCCTGATGCTCAGATCGACACTGAGGAAGGATTCCTCGGCGCCGCCATTAGCCGCCCTGATGTACCATCAGCCGCTGAATCGCAAGCCTGTGAATACCAACCGTAGATCACGAGGATCCTGACACAAAAGGACCCCCTAAACCCTCAGACCCTAACCCTACGGTAACGGAACTCTCTACAGTGAGACCAAGCCCAAAAACTGAGCCCTAAAGATCTCACTACTTGATTTTAAGCTACTACTATGCTCTTGCGCTTTAAGATCCCATGAATAGTCTTATTCTTATCATTCTGATTCCGGGTGAACCCTAGGCTCCGATAGACCCCAGACCCGCGACAGCAGGATTTGGCCGTCTGAAATGCTCCGCGCAGTCAAGGACTCCGTGAAAGATGCGGGTCTCACAGTCGGTTCCGGGGCTTGGGGCTGCAAGGCGTTCATACTTAATCTCCAGTGCGAAAACCGCCAAGACCCTAAACTCTGGCAGGAGGGAAAAATCTTGAATTATTGCTAGTCTTCTTCTCATTTTTAGTAGTATATATGATATATGCAAGCAAACAAGCAAATATCTCCAAACCAGAGACTGTAAAGACCTTCCAGGCTCCTGATGCCTCGAGAATTTCCGGCTCATTTCTCCTTGAATGGTCAGCTCTGATGTCTCGGGGGTTTTCAAAGAGTTGCAATTTGACTTCGACGTCGGCGTGGGGTCGATTCAGGACCCTTTGCCGGTTTACAAAAAATATCATGTCGAGGGTGGGGAGGGGTCGGTGGAAGCCTTCAATCTTTGGGTCTCTCGTGGGTCTGGTGGGTCAGAACCTTGAGCTCACAATATCGGGGGCTTAAATGATACGAATACTCGGATATATTCCCTGAGGTACCTAGTTGTAGTTTATGATGACGATGTGTACCACAAGCCTATTCCAATTCTTAAGGCAAGCTTTGCAGATTCAAGCTGCGTTTGGATGGGAATTTGGCACGCGGAGATGCGATGCGCGGTGTAAGGGTGAGTGCAATTTATTTCCTTAGAAGCCCGGCAGCCTACACATAGCAGGTTGCCAGCCTCATGGGCAGTATTCATGGGACTGCCCTGCTTTGTATTGAAGGGTTTAAGACTTAGGGCAGTAGCCTTCTATGCAGACAACTGGGGTTCTGTGTTTCATGATGCCGGATGCCTACTTTAAGGCGTGTGTCGTGCTTCGCGACGAAAGCTGCAAGACTCCGTGAAATCTGTTTAGGCACTGCAAGCTCATGCAGGCAAAGACATCGGCAATCCAAAGTGCAGAGCTCGTGCAAGTTTTGCGGTTCACGTTTGCCAAAACCTCCCTGAAAAATCTTCCGGATGGAGGCACCCAAACCCTGAACTTATATAACCGTCCCTGAAGGAGTTTCCGGATGGAGACTGGCTAGCAGGAGCCATGCCAAACGGACGATGTTGACGTTCGAGCCTTGGCAGGTCCCGCCGACATGATCTGTTTACTTTGCAGGGTACAGTGAGTCAGTGAGCTTAGGTCTTCGGCTTGTGGGTTTGGAGATTAACACTAGTAAAACAGAGGGGGCTTGAGATGTTTCCCAGCCCCGGCGCAGGAAGACAGCCAGTGTAGTCATGTTCAGGAGCCTACAGAATTCATGCCTGGCAGTTGCATGGATTCAAGCCCCCACCGCAATGAGAATTCCAGAACCACAGCCCCAGGTTCGTTTGTGCAGTCAGTGTGGAGGGGGTGTAGCTCTCCATCCTTGAGCTTGAACTTGAAGCCTTATACTTCTGATACCCCTCATAGCATCCCAGAGCCCTAAAGCCCTCTAGCTGTGTCTCGCTTCGCGGCTGACAGGTGACTGCATCCGTGTATGTGCGTGTGAGACAGAGAGAGAGAGAGAGAGAGAGAGAGAGAGAGAGAGAGAGAGAGAGAGAGAGAGAGAGAGTGAGACAGAGAGACAGAGAGACAGAGAGACAGAGAGACAGAGAGACAGAGAGACAGAGAGACAGAGAGCCAGAGAGACAGAGAGAGAGAGGGAGAGAGAGACAGTTCTAAACCCTAAACAACCTAACCCCAAACCCTGAACCCTTCTTGCTAAGTAGGAGGGAAAAATATCCCTTGCAGACCTTGTTCCCAGGACCGCTCTGCCGGGGCTCGCCGAATCCTCGAGCTGCTTCTGCTAGGTCCTGCTCGCAGAAGGAAGGGCGAGGCCTGGACAAAGATAAAGCACTTAGTTCTCCAATACCCAACCTTTTAAAATTTTGGGTGTAGTAGTCATCTGAAAGTTTAGCCCTTTATTTCCCTGGCTTATTGGGGAAGTAAGAGCAGCGATGAAAACTCTAAACCTCCAAGTGCACTCCGGATCCGAATTTTGTGTGGGGTGCTTCAGTTTTTTCCTTCTGCGCTCGCGTATGGAGCAGCACAGGAGGACCCGATCTTTGACAGTCCCTTATAGGATCCTTAGAGCAGCCAGAAAATACAGTATATTATGGTGTATATATATATATATATATATATATATATGCGATACATAGCGGTCCCGACTACTTCAGGGACCATGTAAGATGGGGCCATAATCAGCAGCTTCATAGCATCTCGACTTGAGTAATCTTGAGCAGCTGAATTGCCACGTCCAGCCGTCGTTGCATCGTGGAGGCACACTCGGGTGCAACGATCTCGTCTGCAGTAGCAGCCCTCAGCCCCATAAATTCGGTCCTCCCTGTGTCTTCTGCTTACATATCTCGTCTCGGCTGACTGCAGCCATGGATGACTGAAGACATGACGGGGGTTGTTGTAAAGTTCTGGCTTGTTCTTGGTCCTGATTTCATACTGTAGAGTCAGACGACTTGAATGGATCCCAAGGTCAGTTCAGAACAACCCAAGAGTCATTCAAATCAGATCACCCGATCCTGCAGCTGGAGACAATCTGCTCCACTTTGCCAAGACCCAGATAGCCCAAGATTCCGTAAGTATGGGAGATATACCTTGAGTCAAAAGAAGGAACCCAGTACAGCTTCAGGTATGGTTCAAAAGATAAGGGGTTTGGGGCTCTCTGGGTAGCTGCTTTGCCAATGTAGTTTTATTCTTTGCTCTGGCACCTGCGGTTTGAAACTGGCAGAGCATCCCATTCAGGCTCCAGGGTAAGGGGTATCTCTGCGCGGAGAGAAGCACCTGTACATTAAGCCTAAGCCTCCGTGCGAAACATATCACAAACTCATGAGACATGTGGATCGAGAGCTGCATAGTATGAGGACAACGCATGTCGACTGCATCTACATATGTGCCATGCACCCCGGTTTTGGCGCCCGAACGTCCAGCCGCACGTCGAGGACAGAAGGTGTGTATTCAAGAAGCCAGGTTGGTTCGAACAGAAACCTGGGCCACTGACGGCAGTACTTTCCGAATCCTTGACATCCTGGGCTAGCAACCCTCGAAACAAAAGGTCGACAAGTAAATTCAGAGACAGACCACGATTGTCCTCTAGGCCTTCACAATCAGGTTTGTTGGCAGCTTGCTGAAGGAGAAGCTAGTAAGATTGAGGGTTGTGACATGAGCATGTGCCAGAGCCTGCGACATCGATGGCACGATCTTGGGTGTGTACCTGGGTGTTTCCGAACGACATCCTGCGACATAGACTCATTTGTGCTGTACGTGTTAGTCTCTATGATAAGATTTCTCTCAAGAAGGCATCCCTGTACTCCACCCCGTTATCTTAAATCGAGCCCTCCTCAACCTTCGGAAATGCCGGAGATCCCCGGGAGTTCGCACCGTTTCTGCATCGGACCGAAGGAACTACAGCTCGAGCGGATGCCCACATCCAGGGTTTAAGAAACAGCAGGCTTTGTGCCCAGATACTTGCGAGACAGGGGACAAAGAAGAGAGCGGAAGGGAGCAGTTTATAGGATTAATATAGGGGCCGCAATATATTATACTAATATTTATAATAAGGAACCCCACCAAAACCCTATTCTAATTGTGAAGGCCCCTACATTAAGCTGGGCTGTTCACGTTCCCTTAGGGGTTTAGGGTGTTTTGGGGGGCTTAGGGGTTTAGGGTGTTTTTTTTACAATTTTGGGTTTAGGGTTTTTGGGGGTTTGGGGGCTTAGGGGTTAGGGAGTTTTAAGTATACCACAGCCCACACCCGATCCCTCAAACTCGATAGCCTCTAGAATCGAAGGAAGGTTCATGTTTTCAGGTTGAGTTTTCCACCATGCTTGCATTCGGTAGCCCGCCTGGGTCGGCTTCGCAAGCTGCCGGTTGTTCGACTGCAGATTGCTGGCGAAAAAAAGAGGAAAAGCACCGTCCGTGCATGCTGGTTGCAAGGTTTAAAATGTAGGGTTGTCATCCCAGCAAACACCACAAGATGTTGTTGCAGACTGTTCACGTATCCTTACCGTCAGCCGTGGGAAGGAATGGATGCTCTGCATACAAGTGTTGGAAATACGCGTGCCCTACACACGACACTTCCAGCACGAAGGATCCCATTAGTTACTTGTTATTTCGGATGATGTTAGCGTTCCTGGGTGCGGGCGTTGCTGTAACCCATGTGTGTAGTCCAGGGACATGTAGGATAGGATGTACACGTGCGCTGATGTTGGTTCCACATGAAACGCCCAAAACCGAGCGGAGAGCGAACAAGAGAGAGCGAGAGAGGGACTGGGAGAGCGAGTGAGAGAGCGGGAGAGACAGACATGAGCGTCAAATAATTCGGCTCGGAGAAGCCGTAAACAGTTAAACAAAAAACACAGAGAAACGTGGTCCTGATCTTGCCGCGACTTTCAGTAGCATACAATTTATTTGTAAGTTTTCAGAAATTCACAGGCTTACGGTGTGTTTCAAGAGGCAGCTTGACATCATCTGAAAAATGCAGGCCGCGAGACCGTGAAGCTCGATTTCAGTTATTCTGAGGTATTCTCTGCTATTTAAATGCTTCCTGCACCTCCAGCGCCCCAATAGCTCCGCACATTTCAGTTATCGGGTTTACTATTCTTTGCAATTTCAACGCTTTCTGCATCTCCAGCGGGTCCAATAACTCCGCACAGGATAAGGCGAGGAACCAGACCACCATGTGTCCTCATGGGACTTAGGGAGCACTAGGGTTCAGGGTTGAGAGCTTGCCTGTCAACCCAAGCGAAGGATTTACGAGTGATATGGGCGTTTCCGACAACTAGGGGTACCTACATTATTTTGGGGTCCTTATAATATGGATCCTACTATTTAGTGTACTATATTAGGGTCCCCTGTTTTCGGAAGCTGCCATATGACCATGAGCCTTTGCAAAGGCCGCAAGAGGAAGAGTCGGTATGGCTGGGGTTCAGGGTTTAGGGTGTGGGTTTAATTAGAGTTTAAAGGGAACTCCAGAAAGTTGGAATATGGTTTCAGGGTAGGATACCTTATAATTTACCATAAAGGGCTTCGGATTATCATATTCCAACTTTCTGGCTTCTACTTTAGGGCGTTCGGAGTGTCTTTTGGAACTGTCCAAGGTCTAGGGTTTATAAAGCCTAAAGACTTAGAGCTACGGGTGGACGCTGGATCTTCAAGATGCGTTCCAATTGTTAATATTGAAGCCTTAACTCAATCTTAAACCCCTTCTAGAAACCCATGATGCATCCCCCATAGAAACCTTAACCTACCTCAGCCATAGGACCTGCTAGAACACGTCTACCCCCAGCGTCCTAGGTACTGTCATGGGGGCTACTTCCCCAAATCACAATAGTAATTCCTAATATGGAAACTCCACATTCTACTCTATAGGTACATATAGGAACCCCCTAGATGAACCCTAAACCCTAAACCCGTAAAGGAAGGAACCCTAGATTCTATCATTGTGGTAGCTTGGACCCTTGGGGCTAGGAACCCGAAACCCTAATCCCTAAAACCTTAAACCCTAAACCATAAACTCTCCTCCCTAAACCCTACTCCCCAAACCCTAAACCCTTAAATTAAGCCAACCCGAATCCCTAAACCCTAAACCCTTGAATCATTGAACCCTCAATCCTTTAGGACACCCCCCACCCACTCCAGAGCCCCAGAGCCCCTCAAGTCGCATGGGAGTTTCCGAAAATAGGGGGCCCTAATACAGTACCCTAAATACTAGGATCCTTATTATAAGGACCCCAAAATAATGTAGGTACCCCTAGTTGTCGGAAACTCCTAAAAAACTAAACCCCCAAAGAGCTCTTTAAAGGAACCCTTATAGTACCCTTATAGTAACCCTTTAAAAGAAACCTAAGGAACCCTAAGGTACCCCCTATTTTCGGAAACTCCCGCATGACCCAAGGGCAGCTCTCAGAGGACGTCGCCTTCTCACTGGGCCAGGCCGTCTTTAGGGTTTAGGGGTTTAGGGTTTAAGGGTTTAGGGGGTTTGGGGGTTTAAGGGTTGAGGGGTTTGGGGGTTTAGGGGTTTGGGGGTTTAGGGGTTTGGGGGTTTAAGGGTTGAGGGGTTTAAGGGTTTAGGGGGTTGGGGGTTTAAGGGTTGAGGGTTTAAGGGTTTAGGGTTTAAGGGTTTAAGGATTTTAGGGTTTTTTTAGCGCTTAAAGGGTTTAGGGAGCAGTTTTAGGGTTTTTAGGGCTGTTGGGGCTTGGGGTTTTAAAGGTTAGGATTTAGGGTTTAGGGGTTTAGTTTTTCGGGTGTTTAGGGTGTTTAGGGTTTAGGGTTCAAGGTTAGGACTTAGGGTTTCGGGAGTGGCTTTAAGTTTTTTTTTTTCCGATGTAGTTGGGTCCGTAGCAAAAAAGGATGTTTTTAGGTTCAGGGGTTTGTGACTCAAGGTATACGATTTAGGATTCGGGGCTTCGTCGGTCTATGGTGTCTTTGGCTTGCTGGTGTAAAAGTTGTTTGAGTGGCGGGGGTTCTCTAAGTCAAACAGACAGGGTCGGGGTTGGGTTGAAATTGCACCTCTCCACCCCTCAACTTCGCACGCATGCGTACATCACTACTTAGAGGCCAAAACGAACCGATGCCCCTTAAGATCCTGAAGACGCCTAAACCCGAAAGCCTAAACCCTTCCAACTCAGGGAATCTGAGCCCCACTGTGAGGATGTGGACTCCTCCATTGCAGAGAGTGTCTTCGGAATGCTTGAGGCCACCGTGTGGACAGTACTCGATGTGGTCGAACTTCGGCTACCCTAAGGCAGCAAGTAAACATATACTGCCTCCTTGGGGATGTAAAGTCTGGAACTTCCACCTGTTTTGGCCTACTTGGAGTGGTGGTTGGCTGGAATTAGTTCCCTGAGTATGTGGATCGGAGAACACAGGAGTAAGTTCTGAGCAGAGGTGCAGAGCTATCGACTGCAGTGCCCAATCTGAATCCATAACCCGGAGGTCGGAATACTAATTATATAGTCCGCATATGCTCATGACTCATAAATATCATAGACCTTATCGCTGCACATTTACTTACTGAATAAGTACTCAAGCGCAGCTTGGAGAAGTTGCGCAAGTACATTTATTGGGTTGACTTCGAGGTCTGAGTCATAAGCCAGCATATCCAATGTGCGTTTAGTCGCAGTACTTCTACGTTTATGAGCGTTTCTCGTCACTGCCACAGGAACTTTGCAGCAAGCATTATACAAGCATCATTGTCTTATGATTATAAGCCGCCCAGCGGCTGGAGGATTGAAATCCGAGACTGGGATTGGGAAAGTACATAAACATCAGATACGACAACTCCGCCGCTGGAAGGTTCACAGGTTCTGCTATGCGAGTTTCAGAGGAATGGGGTTCCAGTTCCAGTTTAAAACCGAAGTATGGGAGACCTTTTAATGTTCATACGCTGGAGCTATGCCTTTTGTGCAACTACAGATTCCTTGAACAACACATACAACACAACTACCGCCAAGCCTTCAACTACGCCAGTTGTGTCTAGAATTCGTAGTCGTTTCCGCTTGCATAAACATAGCCATGTCGCTTTGACTCCGCCGTACTTGAAACCCTAAACTCTTGAAGAAGGCACGTCGCAACCGAGACCTCCCAGAAACTCCAAAGCCTCCTAGCGAAGCGATGCACTGCAGATTCTGGAGAGATCTTGAAATCGATATTTGGGGTATACTCCAGGGGTTTTGCAATCTCTGGCTTTTCCAGCTCGGAAGGCTTGCGTTCCCGAGTACGACTATGCCGGTGCCATCCGACAGCCGTCAAAAACTCAGCAAGCCAAGAATCCGTTTTTGGGCAAGAGTCCAGCGGCAAAACCGTATGAAGACCGGAATGTCAGCAGAATGCTCCAGACTTTAAGTTCTGGGCACTGTAGAGGTACTTAGCAAGCTTCAATATAGCAAAACAGCTGTCTCGCAGCTTTGTTATCTTCAACACCAGCATCTGATCACCGTCATCGTCGTAAGCTTGATGGTCATCATTAGTGTATCATAAACCTGCAGTTGAGATGGTGGAGAAAACAAGCACTTGATGATTATGGTACCTCCTGCCGCCGTCCCTGCTGGTGCTGCTCCTGCTCCTCCTGCTGCTAAGCCGGCACTGCACCGCTGCTGCTGGTAGAACCCCAAACACCCCCAGTCCAAAACTCTAGACCCCAAACACTGCAACACTAAAGTTAAACCCCATTTCTGCTAAGCTTGTCCGAGTGTGGGTGTCAGAAAAACTTAAACTCCCCCTCCCCCCGATGAGGTCGGGGTCCTCCCTCACGGGCATCGTGCCGACTGGCACCTATCCTTGCCAGGCCTGAGCGGGGAAACATTGTCAGATGTATACTAGTGTCAGGCCGACACGAGATAACTCGCACATGAGCTTTGTAGACGAGTCTAGAACTTGTTCTGGGGTGGCAAGTGCTAAGGTGAGAGTGCGCTACAACCCGTCAGGTATTTATTGTATATCCACCGTTTGCTGTGCTTGCTTGCCGGCAGTTCAAGGCTAGTTCAAGGTGTTCCCTGTGCGCTTCGAACATAAAGGTAGTAGACAGGACGTCGTTCAAGGCTGCAGAGAATAGAACATTCCACTTCAGACTTGCTCTTGAAATTAGGGTTTAGGGTTGAGGAACGATGACTACTCGCCAGTCACCAGTCAAGATCACCATCATCACCACGACGACCGTTGCTGTGCTTCAACCGTATGATCAAGCACATGCTAGAGTTTAGGGACCCGCAAAATAGGACATAAGCATAAGCATGTTGTAGGGAAATCCCTACCTTATTGGGCTTCATTAGAGGGGGTTTTATATGGGATATCCTTTGCTTATGTGCTTTTCGGGGGCCCTGAGAGGATGGAAGCTTCATGATCATCGGTGCCAACGGGGACTCCCTCTTCAAGCGTTTGATGGCCGTGGCTGTCCCAGCAGTGTCGCGTCTAGACCCGAACTCCTATCCTCAATCGAGCACCCTAGCCCCAAATGTGTTGGTCTTAGACTGCGAAGGAACTTGGCGTGATTGTGCATTTGTAGTCTCAGCATTACAGTTCACTGAGTCTGCTTCTTGCTTGCTTGCGCTCTGCTTTCCGCGATCCTAATGATTAGGGCCATGACTGTCTGATGACAGTTAGGTGAAAGCCATCCTCATGGTTTTTGAGTACAGATGCTTCCACTGAGGACTGGTCTTGCAGCTCCGTTTCTTCTGCAGGATTTCCGAAAGTGTAAAAGCCAACGTCGTGAATTTTGGGCTCAACTCCTTGCTTATACAGGAGGTTTTAGGTTGCATCACCCGCAAAGCCCTCAGTTCGTGTGCGTGGGTTTTGGTTGGTCACCTGCGATGTCCATTGAGTCCCTTAGTGATTTGTCTTATCTCTCTGGCTCAGCCATGTGATTCTAGGTATATGAGCTGCCGGATGTTGGCCGAGACGGTACATCAATTCGTGACACATCCATGACCAGTGCAGTTTCGAACTGGCTTGTAGAGCACGTTTTGCAGCACGAAACACCATGGCAACATAACCTCAGTAACTGTGAGCGAGTGCTGGGATGTGTTGGTGGGCAACTGGCTGCATTCGATGCGTCGTTCTGCTCTGCTGCTACTGAAAGTACAACAAAATCCTATAAACAGCATGTCATCCCGAAAGCCCACAACTTGAAAGCTCTTGCCTTAAACCTAGACTCGCCATTGAGATTTAGGTCATGGGCCGGTCAGACCTTGCAGAGGACTGTGCTCACGAGGGTGGTCGGGGATAGCAAGCCAGGGATCATAGTGCCTGTGAAGGAAGGAACGTACCTCGAATCATAGACGGCCGCTTGCTATGTTCTAGGGTCGTTTCAGTTGATTCTACCTGAACTAGGGGACTGGAGGTTTCAAGCCCTTGGGAGTCGGACTCCGGACAGCCACTTCTTTTTGCGAAAGGGACTTGAGAGGCCTGAATGCACAGACACTCCCAGCCTGAGAAACGAATTGCAATCCACCGGGGGCTGCGGTTAACTTGTAGTAAGGCCATACTTGAGTGACAAAAAGCGGGCTTTACCTATAGACTCAACCCTGCTTACGTAATTGCGAGGCATCCGGATCCATGAAGGGCTGTCGCCTAGTCACAAGAGCGTTGACCCAACATTGTTTGTCCTGACCCTGGTCTCGGTTTTTCCTAACCACCAGCACGCATTGTCCTAACCACATATTCTCCCAACTACGCGCAAATGGGCTCGAGATGCAGCTCGGCTTGTGGTGGCCAAGCCGTGGATGCTAAACGATGAGTGCGGCAAGGCATTTGCAAGCTTGCTGCCACCATTAAACAGCAAAGCCAAGCTTCAACGCAGCCAAGAAGACCTTGCGAGTTGCAGGATGTCTACTTGCTTCATGTGACTCGAGACAGTCGATGCTTCTTTCCGGGTCCTCCTGGTAGACTCCTTGTCGGAGGATGGAGGATGAGAAGATGGAGTGGTCGAGTCAACGTCGCTCCAAGGAGGCTGTCGATGTCTATGGTGCATGGTTTGATCCAAACATACGCCACGCGCAGTTAGGGGTAACAATAAGGCGATTGAGGTTTTGAACACTCTGCAGTCGTGGACCCCAGTGACAGCTTTAATGAAGATTCACACCGGGTCAGCCTGCACCATGTATAAGCACATCCGTCCATCCACCCCTTCATCCATCCATCCATCCATCCATCCATCCTTTCATCCAGCCCCATGTATCTACATAAATCCGTGCATGCCTGCCTACATGATTCTTCGTACTGTAAGGGTTATAAGTGTTTCTTTGTTTGGACGTCGCGGCCTCAGGCCCTGAGACCTGCCATAGTTTGTTTTTGGAAATCGTAAGCCGTAAGCCCCATGCAAACCCTAAACTCCACGCGGCCATGGGGTTTGAAGCAAGGCCGCCTCAAGAAGCATCAGCAGATAACAATCCTGTTCGAGATGCATAGAGACAATTGCAACCTTGTTCAAACGAGGTTAAGTCTTCAAGCCGGCAATGAACCAAAACAACCCGAAGTGCTGCAATGCTAAACCTAAACTGTAGGGCTTGTGGTGTTGAACTTAAACCTGTCGTCCAAACCCGAAGCCCAGCTTTCTTCCGCGAAGCAAGCGGGCAGGACAAGCGCTTCGAAGATAATGCCGGGAGGTGCAAACACCAGGATCCTGCTCACGAGGGCCAAGCGGTTTACATCTCCCGGGTCTCTTGAGGGAGTTTCAAGTTTGATGATGGTTCGCTGCGGTGTAGATTGTGCGCACATGCTCCACGGTTAGCAGATCTGCTACCCCATACTGCTTCGGTACCTGTGGATGCTGCGTTGAGTCACAGTCTCGCAGCTGTTCGTCTTCGAACGCTTGTGCCTGTGGACTTCGGCTTCAAGCCTGCGGGTGGATGCTGCCTTATTGGCATGGAACATTCAAATCCCAGAACCAAGCCCCTCCGTGTGCATTTTTCCGAGTGTGAGCGCCGAAATTCGGACGTCCATCAACTGCAGGACCTCTTGGACGAAGCCATCATCGAATGGACCCGGAGCAAGTCTGCTGCGGAAGCCGCCGGCCGGGAATCAGCTCGGAGTTTCAGGTTGACGACTGACGCCGAGCCCCCCTCCCGTCCCGAAACCTTAGAGTTTAGGGGCTTTGGGGCTTTCCCAAACTCGAAAGCCCTATAATTAAAAGTCTTATAGTTACCATGTATCTATCCTTGAAAAGAGTGTCGGACGTCCTTGGAAACATACTCTGCCTTCATGATAAAGGCCCACAAGTGTTTCAGGTTCAGGCCGCGTGCAAAGAGGCGGCTGTTCCCTGCGGTCCCATCTTCTCAATCAAGGCGCTCTGTCGGTTTTGGGCTTAGGATGGCTTAGGTTATAGGGTTTAGCTGTATAGTAGTTTGGGGTATATCCTTGCGTAAAGAGGATGAATGGGCTTTGGAGGGTTCTTCGAAGTTCCACATATATGTTCTATCAGGTTTAAAGAGCTCAACACGGTTGTATACGCCGCCACAACGGTTTTTTGTCGCAGTGGAGTTTAGGCACAGCTTTTCGGAGAGGGGCCATTGGGGCTACAGTGGAAGTTTGACATTTTAGACCAACCATGAGGCTTTCATCCCGATGATTTTTGAGCGGGTGCCAAGACTATCTGCGGGCGATGTTGTCACGTTGTCACATTATGATTGTTATTCCCGGTGTTGCTGCTGTGGTCATGAGTCATAACTGTATTGTTATTGTACTGTTATATGTAGATGTAAAACGTTCTCATCACACGTAATGCAACGCTTTCGATGTTTATCAGCTGAATCAGCTTGATGCCTCGGATCATTAGGCCATGTCTTCCCGATTTCAGGGTTTGCCCTTAGACAGAGCTTCAGTTACAGCAACAAGCTCCACCACCTGCCGCCCTGAGACTAAACCCTTTAGCTTGACCCGCAAGGGGTAGAACCACTTTCCACCGCCTCAGGTCGAACTCTTAAGTTGCCCTTCATGTAGCCATTGCAGACGACCTACAGCCTAAAATTCCAGGACATCATGGAGGACGAGCATTTCCGTGCTCGTGGCTGCTTCGAGGAGCCGTCTGTCTACTCATCAAATGCGTAGCTCCACCCTTCAGGTTTAGGGGTTCACGCTTTAGGGTGTTAAGGACCCTAGCTCTTGAACCTCAACCCTCCGATAGCAGAGGATTAATGAATTAGGTTGGTTGCTTGGTTTCGATTTGAGGGTTTAGGGTTTAGTGTAGGGCTTACCCGAATTGCATGCCACCGCCGGTACACTCTGTAACATGATCTGTGAGGTGATGGTCTGCTTTGAGAGCATGACACTCGTTTTTTTTGTTTTTTGTTGGCCGTGTTCGCTGGTGATGATGACGAGGTTCGTGTCAATGGTGATGATCGCGATGATGATGGTCATCATTGCGATGCTACCTATCATCAAGGTCATTACGGTCATCAAGGTCACCATCACTATCACCTTCGTTGACATCATCATCATCGTGCCTGTCTTGATTTGGGCCAGTCCGGAGAGCTCGGCCAGAGGTGGGAGTCCCCAAAGCCGAATCTCCCAAGCCATGCAGACCACCACAGCAAAGCTGCCTGTGACTTTTCACTCTGCTGCTTTGCCGGAACTTGGGGCCAAAGATCTTCCAGCTTCCAGACTCTTTTTAAATCTTATTGGCGGTAAACTCAACTTTTTCAACTTTTGGGGTTCTCATAGGGTAGTTGATTCTGAAAGTTGCAACTTTTAGTTCCTGGTGCTTTGGGCCAGTGAGAAAATTTGTTAATCGTGTTAAGCCCGAGCCGCAAATCTAAACCCTATCTTACCTCCCACCATGCCTGGAAGTGTTGAAGCAGTGCATGTTGAGCGTACGATTTGTTGACTCTTGCTTGGAGCATCAAGTAGCATCTCCTGTGCTCGCACAAATTTGTGTTGTTCTAAGCATTGACACGGAAAGCATGAGCTGGAGCATGCTAAGTAGAAGAAGCAGGAAGATTGGCAAATTTGCCGCATGATGATTTTTCTTGCATGCGAGAGCATGCTCCTAAAGCATACGGGGTGAATGTTAGAAAACGTCAATCCGTAATTTGCCAGGATGTCCACCTGCCGGATGGGCGGGCGGTCAAGGTGCCTGCGATTGGGCCGGCAACTTACATGCGATGCCACATTCACCCCCATGAGAAGTTGATGACACCTCTTGACTCTCGCTGCGAAGCCTCAATCCTGAAGTAGGCACCAACCTCGCTCCCGAACGCAAGACGTTCACCGATGTTCCTTGTTGGCGCAACGATCTCCTCTGCTCGAACCTTTGCTTCCTCTGATAGTCGGCTGTAACATAGGGGCTAAAAAATCACCAATACGTACCATGTGGGGATATTCGAGGGCCCTTATAACAATAACAATATAGTATAACATACCCAAGCCACTATTCTGCTTGTTAAGGCCTCTATACTGCATCATGAACTCCCGAACCCGGACAGGCCAAGCGATATGGTGACAACTTCCAGGATGCAGAGTTCCCGCATGCATGATCCTAATATCGGCTCCGCCAGATTTTTTCCCGTTGAAGCTCTATAGTTCCTTCTAACGTTCTTTAGATCTTCCTTCTCAGCGCAGTAATAGTAGTAGTAGTTGTTGTAGTAGTAGTAGAAGTAGTAGTAGACAGCCGCGCAGCAAGAACCGTCAGGGGAGCCTTACTTAAAATCACATCTCGGGTTGGTCTGGGGTCTTTGGGGGTTTGGGTGCCCAGCTGGAATCCAGAAACCACGCAACTGCCAGACCTAAAGCTGATCGCATAAATCCTCGGCTCGGCTCCGAATTGCGAAATCTTTACTCGATCCCCACCTCGCAGATTTCCGAACTCCGGATGCCTTTCCTAGTTCGTATGTGGCGAAGAGGAACCAGAACCGCATAGAGTCGTGTAAAGCTTTGGGAGGCTGAGGCTGCACAAAGACTCCACAGTGATGAGCACAAATTCTAAACTAGTACCTGTCAGCTGAAAAGCCATTTCTGAATGCTCAACACCCATAGGCCTCGTCCTTTCGCCAAGGCCCAAGCTATCTGCCACACCTGGCAACACTTCATCGGGTGGCCCTCGATTGGGGCAGCACACCACAGAGGCTGCTCCCACGCTGTGTGATTCTTCGTGGGTGGGTGTTACACCTATATAAGCTCTGAAGGTTTGACCCGGCCGTGAAGCAGGAAGCCCCACAAAGCCTTGAACCACGAAACCCCTAAACCCTAAGCGCCGAAACCCTAAGCCATCCTAAACCTTCAACCACGGAGTCCAGACTATTGGGGCTTTCCTTTGTCACCGAATTAACCGAGTCGTAAGCAGGGTGTCAGAGATTTGGACTGCACCCTGCACCGGCCCTACACCCTGCAAGGGGCATGGACGTGTCTTGGTTCAGGGTAGCGCCAAGTTCTTTCAAATTATGCAAGGAGTCTGAGGGCCTTAGCCTGCCATGATGTTTGTTACAAACATCGTGGATTTGTTCGATGTTGACAGCAAAGTGATTTACGTGAGCAAATAGCATTATGTCCACATCCATCTCTTCGAGAGCTTGTAACCTGACGCCCTCAACCCGCACTGGGCACTTCTCGTATAGCGGTTTTGGGTTGAGAGTTTTTGGGCTATTAGGGTTCAATCAAAAGCCAAGCAGCTCACCAGCTCAGTGTGCATGTTTCGTGCACCTTCCCAAGGACAATGATAGTTATAATGTAAATTGCCGAATAATCGGCAACAGTGTCCTGCAACAAGATAACTCATACCAGTTATACCGCCAAACCCTTTTCCAGTTACTAATCTAACTAATGCTCCTAGATTAGTTGAAGATCCTGGAAGGTGCTTCGTGAGAAGCTTCGGCTAAGTGACGATGAGCTGAGCACCTTGCGCAGCGCGGGCGTCATTGCTGGATCCTAGCTCGCCACATGCTACTACGGTTTAGGGTTTTATATTGTGCACCTTATTGTGGCAGTGTATGAACACCATAAACTTTAAACATCCATAATTAAACCATGAAGCCCCCTACTAAGGTTTGAAATGCACAGAAAACGGCCCGGCAATTTGAGAATGCGATGTAGCCCTTAACCTTGCACCTGGGATTCCACCTAAACCCCTAACCCATCATCACCCTCGCGCCCAAGGTTTGCACCGCTGGGTGCTAAGGTTCAGAGTTCACAAGTTTAAACAGGTGCTTCAAGCATGACTCGGAAAGTATGCGCAAACTTTCTCGACCAAGATATGGAGGAGCAGGGTCAGGAGGTTGTGTTGAATCCAGCAGCTCGTCATCCTGACAGCTAGGTCGTGACTGCCAAATTTTCCAAAAAAAAACGAGAAGTGAGTGAAGTGAGTCGCGGTCGCAGACATCTGCTTTAATCTGCAAACTCTTCCAAATATAGCATCCTAAACCGCGAAACCTTAAAAAGCCTACAGTAGAAGCCAGAAAGTTGGAACATAATTAGCCCAATGCCCTTAAGGTAAAGTAGAAGGGATCCTAGCACTAATCCTCCTAAATCCACGTTCCAACTTTCTGGCTTCTACTATACGGCCTCCATGATCCTCAATGTGAGCTGATTGCTGTGGGTAATGATGTTTCGGGTTTTTCCTGCAGAGAGAAGCTGATCAGGAGCAGAACCATCTATCCGCGAAAAGCATTGAGACCCCGCACAAACTCTTTTTTGAAAAGCCCCACCCAAACCATCCGACTCGGACTCACCTAAACCCAAAACCCAAAACCTAACAGCTTTCGGCAGGGCTGGGACTGGGGCAGCACGTGGGGAACTTCCTGGCAGGGCTGCCAGGGCCCTACAATAGTTTAAATAGTGATGGGGTTGTGTTGATGATATAAATCGCATGGGAGCTATGCTCTATTCCCTCTTATGGGCAATGCAGGTTTGATATCATCAACCGGAGGACTGTAAAGTTGAGGATTTTGTCTTGCGGCTAGCTGGGTTGACAGGTTAACATATTCATTTCATGTGACAGAGAGAGATATTTAGACGTTGGGCACGAGAGGAGAGGGCGCGAAAGGCGGAGGAGGGAGGGAAGGAGAGAGAGACTGCAGTATTCCAGAAATCAATTGAAAGACCTTGAAAGACTTTGGGAGATTGATACACGGATGGTGGCGGTGGAGGAACACGGAAACTTTGTTCTTCGAGACTGAAGGCTTCAGGGATGCCTTTGAGAAGGATTCGGTTCGGGAACGAGCTTGTTTGGAATAGACATCTCAAGAAGTTGGGTTGACAGTTCGGTGACGGACGTGACCGATGTGGTTTCGGGCGTTCCGAATCAACCAGCATCTAGACATACACGCTCAACGGGATGATGTCTGCAACATCTTACAGCACTTCCATGTTGACATCGTTGTTATTCGTTCCCTTGCTCCTTGTCCTCTTGCTATAGTGCTAAGCAAGACCTAGTCAAACCTGCCGTTTCTTGCAAGTCAAACCTGCCGTTTCTTGCAACTACTGCTGGTGTTCCTGCGACTTACACATAGAGACACGTTGCATACATGCGCACAAATCTCAATCAATGGGTTGCTGTAGTCAGTCAGGCGTAATCAACCGCATAGTCATGCGAATGCAGGTGTTGCCGGTTTTTGAAGGTTTCTGAACATAAACCTGTATATTTCTTCATGTGCACACAATGCTTGACACACTATTTTGCAAGTATACGTCTGTATGTACGTATGTATGCATGCATGTAGTCGCTTCGTAACAACTCCCACCTCGAAACCCGAACCATCTCGCACCCCAGTGCCCAAGCCCTTCAAACATCACTCCCGAACCCAGCTTAACACCAAAAGCCTACATCTCAAAGTCTTTGAAGGCCCCGAAGGCCCCAAAACGGTTTAGAGTTTAGGGTTTAGGGTTTATAGTTGCCAAACAAGGCTTAGGGTCTCGAAGTCTCTGCAAGCCCCGTGTGTGTCCAAGGGTGGGCAAGTGAGCGCCCATCATGGTCCTCCTGGGACTCCAGTGCACAATGGTGCCTAGACTTCAGAGGACCTGAGAATCTGAAAAGGTGGGTGGTTTCAATTAGTAAAGTATCCGATCATGTCGATGCTACAATATAACTACTGTAAACCCAATTCTCTCAGGTCTACAAGTGTATGTATTTAGGAGATTGGATATTGCCTCCGGGGTTGGTTCACTTTGAAGCGCATAGGCTTCTTGCGAGAGAGCTCTCCAGCAAGCTGGGTAAACTCTCATGAGTTACGGGCTTATAGTGATTGAGCCGGGGAAAGGCTCGTGAGAATCTGCGTTTCAGCTTCAGCTTAGTGAGGGCATTTACAGAGCGTCGGGCGTCGGCTTCATAGTGTTCTGGTTTGGGGAATGATAAACCCCAGTACGTCCAGCGTTATCTCGCCTTCCACCCAAAATATTGAACGCTGCCAGAGGGGAAAACCGTAGGACGTCAGGCTCTTCGACGAAGCCTGTGCCTCATTAGAGAACCCTGAGCCCTGTACACTTCCCAACAAGATAAGGCGACAGTGGCCGTCCACCTCATGGACTCAGGACCAACTGCACCGGAGTCGTAAGATCGTCCATTGATCTAAGGATTTTTTGCGAAGTGGGGGTTCTGGCAAGAGTGCTGGCTTGTTGATGCCTGGTGGTTCAGGCTTGCGAGGTTCTGCTCTCGGCTTCATACCAAACCCTGAGCCCTAGAGCCTTTAATAAAAGAATCCCCCCGTAACGGGCATGGCTGATCATGGCTGCAAGCAGGAGGGCCACTCTCTCAACCAACTTTGCTAGTCTGGATGCACTGGCTAAAAGACACGAGGGTTACAAACAAGAACCTTTAATAATCTTTTAACCCAGCATTATGGTTTGTTTGTGTTTTGTGTTCGGGGCGCCGCTTGGCTCGTCCGACTTGTGTGGAGTATTGCCTGCCACGTGCGAGAGTGAGAGACGCAATCGAAACCCCAACCACCCACTATGCATATATGTAATATGTATATGTATATATGTATATGTATATATGTATATGTATATATATATATATACATACATACATACTTACTTACATAACTGTATACACATACATACATACATACATACATACATGCCGATCTCGATCTTCACGCAGGGCCGGACGTCCGCTCGAAGTGCATCGCCTGCTCCAAGGCCTGCGGAGTTTGCGGCTTTGGTGGCGGGGTTTCAGGAGGCTCGTGGCCTACCTGGGAATCCCAACACCTACCGTTTTAAGGGTTCTACCCTCTAATTAAGAGGTCATAACCCACTATTTTTTGTAGGGTTTGGGGTCACAGGTAAGATCAAGCCTGATGCCTTACACCTGAAGCCGAAAGCTCGTGAGGCCTTGGGTTCAGGACATTAGGAACCTGATTAAGAAACCCTGGGCCTATAACCCAAAATAGTAATAGTAGGATTCATACAAGGAGCCCGAACAAAGGCCCAATGTTTCTGAATCAGGTTCCCCTCCTATATTAAAGCTCATTTCGGCTTTTGCCAGGGCTTACTGTCATGTCCGACCTGACCCCACGAACCTGGGCACGGCATAAACGGACTGGTGACAGAAGTAGTTAAGAGCAATAAGAGGCCAGACCGCTACTAATCTGCCTAGAGTCCCATTGTAGTTCATTTTTTGGTTAACCAGTTTCAGGTTTAGGATCCTATAATAGAGATTTTGGCTAACCAACGAACTACAATGGAGACTATAGGTGGCCTATCTTTTTTTCTCTGTGTCTGGTTGGTATCGCGACCGAGTCATTCCTGTGCCCTCGCAAGGATTGGTATTTGCAGCTCAAAACCGGTATCTCAGGGCTACGGTTCGCTTTTGGCGCCGTGACGCCCGGCGTGAGGCTCTAATAAGTTACGGTGTATCAAGATCAACTTAAACTTTTACAAGCTGCCACGACTACTCACCCATACTAGAGACGACACGAAAATAGTAGCTACGTGACCCGGCCGATCACTACATCAATTTATGCGTGGATCTTCGTCTTCGGGCTTCTGCTAGGTTTCGAGAGTGCCGGCGACGCATGGGGCTTCTCACATTGTTCGCATTTGCGCACGTCTTGGCCGCTTAGCCTAACCCTGCAGACCCGCCCAAGATACCACTTTGGGAGTGGAGTAGGGATAAGATTTGAGGAAAAAAGTCTCATGGGCCCGAGGCAGCATACCGGGATCACGAGTTCGGCTTTAAGCACATCAGCCTGCTTCATCGTCTGTTGATACACAGGCGGCATGATGAAGTAATGGTACAAGGGCCTGCGAAGCCTATGCATGTCCAGTCCATTCCGCTCTGTCTATGCGAGCGCTAGCTTTCCAAGGTGGCAAGAATGGATACCTTTGAGTCGTGTATCTGCTTGCTGTTTTGGCCCTCGTGATGCAAGGTATCTCCCCACCCCACCCACTCATCCACAAACCCACCCTTCACCCACTGGTTCGCCAAGCAGCGAAGTGTTGGAATTGAAACCCATCAATGTCATCTTCTGTCATCTTGAGTGATGCTTCCACCATCTCCTTCTGGAAGCACCACACATAGACACAGCGCAGTGCGAAACACAGCTCGACAGAGTCGACGGGTGGCAGACTTCCTTCAAGCTTCGTCGAGTAGCTCAGCTATCTGCCAGGGTGTCGGAGCCCCTGCCAAGTCCGTACCGAAACCCAGCCACCTCCTAAGGCCCTGACCCCTAACTCGTAAACCACCTCACCTAACCTACAAGGCAACCCAAGCCCAACATCCTGTACACTCTTAACTCCAACCCCTACAAGACGTCGGAGTCGTAGCAGCCATGGCGATGCACTTTGGGGGTGTCAAGTCCGCATCGCTGCCACATGCGGAAGCTATCCTGGCAGGCCGAAAGCGTTTGGACGTAAAGAGTCGGGGATAGGTGTAAGTAGCATTCTAAGTAAATATGTAAATGCAGTCATACTTCCCGTGCTTCTAAGCCATACTTGCCCTGCCCCTAATCTTCCCTTTTGTCCTTTAAGTGCGGTGTGGGAGAGATAGTGGCTCGAAGGCACAGACGGGCATATGCCTCGTATGTTTAGGCCCTTTTAGGGTTAAGGCTTAGGAAGCTTAATTAGGGTGTAGTAAAGGGGCCTTAATAATTACCTATAGTATGGGGGTTCCTTATTATAAATATAGTATAATGGGCCCCAAAACCCTATTCTGATTATCAAGGCCCCTATGTTAGGGTGGAGGGGGCTCTTCTCTTTGCTAAGCTGGTGGGCCGGCAGGGATCACCGAGCAGGGCGGCTGGGCGATGGTGCATGCCTCTGAGGACGCGTCAGAGACGGGCCGGAGTACTTACCACTACCATCCCATGGGGTTCCTTACTGATTCCAGTTGCAATAATATAATTTGCTTCAAAACCGTATGCTTATCGATAAGTAGGAATTGAGAGACAAGAGTTGGAGATTCTTGCTTCGGGATTGGGGGTTGCGGTACAGCGTCTGGGCTTAGGGTTCAGGGTGTAGCGGTTCAGCGTTTTGGGCCGGGAGCCGCTGTCTTGTTACGTTTTTGTCCTCAGGGTTGAGGATCTCGGTTGTGGGTTCTTCAGTAGGCTTTTCGTCTGTGGTTGCGGCCTAAGAAACCGAAAGCTGCGTTGATGATGTTGATGATTTCCGAACAGCTGCGGTATCAGATTTGATATCCAAGAATAGAGTGCTAGGGTCTAGCGTTGTAACAGTAAGCCTGACGCTGGGAGACTGAGCACACATCGAATACCTCACATCGAATACCTTCTGAGCTAGAAACTTCCTGGTTGATCCTATACCCTGGGCACCGAACCCAAAGCTGGAAACATGTTTTCCAAGTCTGATCCGCGATGGCACGCCTAAACCCTGACAGCCCGCATCTTGAGGAAACCCTTTACCATTCTAAAGGAGCTGCGACGAAACGCGGAGTTCGTCCTGTCCGCAGTGCCTTGCTTCACCGGCCGAGTGAGAGCTCAAAGCCTAGTCATTGGGTCTTGGGAGCCTCTAAGTCAACCCCGATCCCTAGCCCTAGATCCTAAACACCAATCCCTAAACTGTGGTCGTCGAAATTACCCTGCAATGGTGGCTTCGTGACCCAAACCCTCAACACGACATCCCTAACCCTAAACTATATTACGCTCTACGGTCGCACTCGTGTTTGGTAGGGTAAGAGCTTTAGTGGGCTATATATATATATATATATATATGGGTTTCTATATAATGGTTTCTGCAAAGTCTTGAATGAAGGTATGAGGTATGTGCCTTGAACTCCAAAGGGCCTCTTGGGATCCTGCTCAGAGGGTCGTGTTTTTGTTTATACATTGCCTTATCATAAGTTAAGTATCATGACACAAGTTAGGATCCCTTGTGGGGTACATATAAGTTTACCTTTTCACCTACTTACTAAGTGTCCCAGCCCTCCAAGCTTACCTTTGGTTAGTAGGGAATGGAAGATAGTAGTTAACATTGTACCCCATCCCTCCATTCCCTACTAACCAAAGGTAAGCAAGTGCAGCCAAGGTGATCCAGGATGGAGGCTGCCTGATGCACCTTGGCGGCCTTAGCGCTCGAGTTTTCAGATGGGAGTTTCCGAAAATTACGGGTACCTTAGGTTCCTTTAAAGGGTCGCTATAAGGGTTCTTTTAAAGGGCTCCATAGGGGTTTAGGAGTTTCCGACAATTGGGGGGCCTTACTTTGGGGTACCTTATAATAAGGATCCTACTATTTAGGGTACTATGTTAGGGTCCCCTATTTTCGGAAACTCCCAGATAGATGCCGCCGCAGCATTCAGGGCTTCGCTTCGTTTTGATTGGAAGGATCGTGTGGACTCCGACTGATGTAGCCACTAGGTTTGGTTGGGGTTCGGCCTTCTTGAGAAAACGGATCTCAAAACGTAGATTTGGGTTCATCTGGTCGGCGAGTAGAGTGCGCTGCTACATGAAGTGGAGTCGGGGATGGGTTTTGGCTAGTCCTACTTGCAGATGCCCTGCTACAACTCACCCCAAGATCGATCCCTAATATAATAGGGGCTTCAATAATTACCTATACTTTTTTGGGGGTTCGTTATTATGATCATAGTATAATGGGCCCCAAAACCCTATTCTAATGATTCAGGCTCCTACATCAGACTTTAAACCTTAAAACGCGTTTTTTTTAGGGTTTTGACCTGTCGCCATTTGGGTAGATCATCGTGTACATATCCTCAGAAACCCTCAGGAATTTGACCTGAACAGCCCCCCAGGCCTCGGAACTTTTCTAGAGGAGGTGCAAGCCGCAAGATGCCTTGCAAGCAGAAACCTCAAGCCAACGGACATACATCGGGCATGGTAAAACCTTCAGACTACAGTGTGTCTAGTCCTTCCGAAAGTTCGCCTGACTCGGTCGAGGGCGAGTGCCAAAAGGCAAAGTCTTGAAGCGTGAACAATGTTTACGGCACACGGAATAGAACCAAGCCTAAACAAGCCGTCACACATTCCACTCGAGGTATGCATCAGAAGAGCTCTGCGGCGACGAACAGGCCATGCATCCGTTTAGGGCTTCGGGTTTTGAAGGGTCCTTACAATCACCACCTTCGCACCTAACGCGACTAGAGCATAGGCGTAGCTTGTCGATGGTTTGCAGGTTTGTGCACCAAGGCCTGGTGTCTAAGTCTCTGTCTGTCACGAGAAATCCGATGCAGCCTTGGAGAAGCACTTTCTCGTTCAAACTTCGGTTTGGCCGTGATCTCGGCAACTGTTGTGCGGTTTCATAGTCCAGAGTACATTCTGTAATTCCCATAGTTAATTCAGGTTCCTGTTGGCACCGTGGGATTTTGTCCATCGACATTAACCTCAAGCCCTTGTGCACCTGAAGACATTCGGGGGAGAGGAGGCCGCAACAAAAAGGTTCCGAAACATCAGTAAGAATAGTCCTTTACAGTTCCTATGAATATAGTTGCTTAATACGGCAGAATGACCCATCACCCGACTCTCATCCCAAACCTCAAGCCACACACACACACACCAACCTGAGCAATAACAGCCAAAGGTGTCTCGAAGGGGTTGAGGGCCTGGCCATACAGTGATCGCCCAAACAGAGACATCGACCCCATTCCATGAAACCCAAACTCGCAGCCAATGGTTTGGGGTGCAGTCTATCGCAGCTTGCATCTGGCATCACAGATTTATGTCCCATAAGGCATAGCATTACATGAATTAGGGTGCAGACTTGCACAACTTGCATTTGGCATCATGTATATGTATACTGTACATGTATGTGTATATATATATATATATATAATATAAGTATATGTGTGTATATATATATATGTATGTATGTATGTATATATATATATATACTTATATAGTAGCTGAGTGGATACACTTTACACTTCTGCGGATAACATTATGACCCACTTTAGAACTGAAAGCGTACACTTTTCGGGGCTTATGATTTAATCAACTAAGTTAGTTATATATATATATATATATATATATATATATATATATATATATATATAGAAATACACATGCAAGATCTGTACATTCATTGGGTTTGGCGGTGGTTAATCAAAGGGGCGTCTTCAGATTGGTTGGGGTTTCGCTGTGTTTTTTGAAGGGGCGTCTTCCGATAGATCTACGCTTGCGGCTCAAGACATGAAAACAAATCTCTTCATAAACTTTGGTGCGCCTGCTCGGAATCCTCTAGAACGGCCTATATGGCATCGCATGTTTGAGCTTTAAGGATGTTCAGGGTTTGCAAGACTCAGAGTATATACTGTTATAGGATTGAGAACAGGAGCAATGAGCATGGTAAATCGAGTCACATGATCTAGAGGTCCCGCCGATGTGCTGACCTCGTGCCGAAGTCACTAGTAGTACTAGTAGTACTAGTAGTAGCAGAAGTAGTAGCAGTGGTAGCAGTAGTAGTAGTAGTAGTAATAATAATAATAGCAACAGCAGTAGTAATAGTAATCGTAATCCCCAGGCCCTAGGGCCCCCTGCAGGGAACGACCTAATCAGCTGAGCGGGTGGGACAAAACCCGAAGCCCTGAACCCGAAACGATCGACCCCAAGCCCGATTCACCCCGCCTGGTCTGACTGTAAGCCCTCTAGCACAAGCTTTTCGTGCGCATGGAGCGCTGCTGGTGGTGGTGGTGGGGGGCTGCAGGCCTTCATGTGCTTGGGAGAGCTGGTGAAGGACAAGGTTTAGGTCGTAGGTTCATAGGCTTCTACCATCCACCCCATAAACCCTGGCATCCTAAACACGACAACTCACTACTATACCACATTCCCGAAACCGTCGGAAACCCTAACAATCTTGAGATTCTCAACACCATCATCCCCAAGCCCTAAACCCGTTTGGTTCCGACCTCCTTACCTCTCCCTTGACCTGGGTCTGAGGAGAGTTCTTGATGCGTGATCCAGTCAAGATCGGCCACAGGGCAGAGGTGGGACGGCGATTGAGTGTTAAGGGCTTAGGGTTTAGGGTTCAGGGTTTAGGATTGAGTTTTAAGGTTTAGGATGGGTTCAAAGTTCAGGGCCTTTTAAGGATTATATATAGGGGTCAGGGTGTTGGGGGTTCAGGGTCTTCATGGTTTTGCGCTTTAGGGATTGAGACTCAGTGCGCCAGAGACTTCAATTTCAGGACTACCAGTCCTTCTACCATCTTATATGTGCAAAGCGATGCTTGAACTAGGGTTCCCTTCAACATCTCGTTCACAACGGGAGTCCTCCTAAACCCTAAGCAAGCCACAGGTGAAGCTGACGGACGGAAGAGACGTGCATGTACAGACCGTCAGTGATTACAGCACTGGGTTACCAGCCTTTTTGGTGGAGGACCTCGTCAGTAAGGAGGAGATAGCCGCAATCCAGAAGGCTGCTCTGAAAGAAGGCATGGCAAGAAGCTTGACACAAGTCCACAAGAAAAGGGTGACGAAGAAGCGGGCAGCAAGGATTTTCAAGGAGGTCGATGCAGATCGAGATGGTGCCCTGGATTTTCTAGAGCTCAAAGATTTCCTCCGCGAGGCGGCAGACATGGTCGACCTGAACTACACTGCCTTCCTGCATGACCAACTGGGCTTGCCAAATGCAGCTGAAGCAGCGGCGGCCGGCAGGAAGCTCCGTAAGAAAGAGATCCAGGGCATAAACTGGCCAGCTTTCTTCCGCGCCTGCTTTTCGAACTCTCCTGAAACTAGGCTGTTCTCAGAAGGCAGTTTCATTATCGACTGTACTGTCACAGCTTGAGCTTCGTTCAAGACAGCAAGAGCAGCCCAGGAATGGTTCTCCCGATTCTCAAGCCAGGCTTGGCTGTCTTATGAAGATCATGCTGGTCTGAGTGACATTCTGGACAAAGTTGCTCGGGTCACTGGCTTGCCCCTATCTTTGGTTCAACGAAATGCAGAGGACATGCAAGTCCTTTGGTTCTTGAGTTTGTTTGCTCATTTGTTGCCCTTTTTCGCTCTCTCTCTCTCTCTCTCTCGAGTGAGTCTATAGGATTTCCGCACTGCATGCAAATGTAGAACACGTAGCCATTACGCCATCCCGTTTGGTCGAGAGCCCAGGTCTTGAGATATCCACCAGGTGGTGGCCACTACTCTTGCCATCATGACACAGCTGCCGACGCCCAGGAGGCAATCCGCTTCATAACAGTGTTCTTCTTCCTGAAGCTGGGCGGCTTTCGACAGGCTTCATTTGGTCTAATATGTGTGAGATCTGAAGAATGCGTGTGTGTGTGTGTGTGTGTGTGTGTGTGTGTGCATGTGTTTATGCATCTATGCTTGGATGATATGAACTGAAATGAAACGAAATGGAGCGACATGAGATTGGATGGACGAATGCGTGAATGGATGGAACGAATGAAATCAAAATAATTGAAATGAGAATGAAAGAAGAGAGAGAGAATGAATGAATGGACGAGTGGAGAAATGAATGAATGGAATGAGTGAAATGAAAATAAGATGGAATGAAAACGAGTGAACGAGTGAATGAGCTGAATGAATGGACGAGTGAATCAATGAATGAAAATGAAGTGAAGATCAATCAAATGAATGAATGCAGCAAAACGAAGTGATGAACGAACCAACCAGAATCAATGGATGAATTAATTAATGTATCAGTCTATGCATCCGTACCTGCGTGTGTGCTTGCATGCATGCATGCACGCATGCCCATACATACCTGCCTACCTACCTATACCTACCTGCCTGCCTACCTACCTACATGCGCACGCATGTCCGCATATTGTTCGTGCGTTCGTTCAATGACATTCATTTGTTGTTTCACTTTCGCCACGTAAGCACCTATGGAAAAGTTCACGCAGCATGTGCATAGATGTGTATTATGTATATAGACACATTGTCATGTGTGCGCGCACGTGGGTGGGTGGGATGTTGTTGTGTCCTGTTGCAGTGTTGAAGATTTCTTTCAGACATCAACCCAGGAACGACATCGAGGATGGAGGCGAGACTGTCCTCTTCGGCACTGACCTGAACGCAAGCCGTTCCAGAGACTTCTACCTTGCAGGGGAGGATGTGTGGAGCGATATCGAAGCTCAATGCCAATCTGTCCGTAGCTGCCCACAACATCCAGGCGCACAACCACCGCCTCCATTCTCCACTGCCCTTGTAGCTGTGTTCTTGTTAAGGCACTCATACACAAGTTTTCATAGTAGAGGGTCCATAGTAAGTAATCGGCTTTCCCATGTCTACATATGTATATATATATATATATATAGATTAGATATGTATTTATGTTTATATGTGGTTATATGTATGTTGTGTCACTTAGCTACAAAGTTCCAACAAACGAACCCAGGTAGTGAAGCCTCGTGCGGGCAGCGCTCTCTTCTGGTACAACATGGAACTGGAACCAGACGGAAGCGTTTCTCGATTTCTGTGGTCGAGCATCCATGCCGGCTGCCCAACGCGAAACACTGAGAAGTGGGCTTCAAATGTTTGGTTACGTACAAGCGCCATGCGAGATGAACTGTGATCCTGGTGCTGATGATCTTGAAAAAGCCCTGTACACTGTAGACTGCTGTCAGGAGTCTTACATAGCCCACATAATTACAGTAAGCCCCACGTATCGCAAAGGTATGGCACTCCACTAGTCAGTCTTCTGCGTACGATGCCAGAGTCTGTCAGAGAGCAGTTGTCGGGATGTTGCCGGCTGAATGCCTTCCAACCTCTGAAGGTACAACTTCCAAAAAGGTGTACCCCAGTCCGAGACTCCAATCCTTTCATAAACTTGCACAGGTGGTCCTGGCAGTCGCAGCCCCAGGGGGACAAGCTTCTGTTTGTCACCTTTGCGGTTTAGGTTTGGGGTCCTGACCCTGCCATCTAATTAGCCGGTTTCTGGGTGGTACCAGTACATGGCCATCCCTAGCAATTAACTGCATGCGAGGGGGGCCCAAATACTGGAAACATAAGCCAGAGACGGATTGCCAAGCGCACTCAGATGTGCGGTGCAACGAGTCTTCCTTTCAGTAAAGGAGCGGGAAGTCTTCATTCCATGCTAAACGGCCCAGTTACATATGTGCAGGTGTCTTTAACTTGGAGTTGCTTTTGTGTTTGTTGAAGAGGGTCGTTACAAGCGTCCCGGAATCGGAGGCCAGTTTTCAGATGCGCTATTTTGCTGAAACTCCGATGTCAAGAGTCACGAAGCTAAAGTACCATAAATCCTGGCTATATCTTTGCTTGCTCGTGGCCTGCTTTGGTTCTGGGTTGTATGGAGGCTAACCACTTCGATGTCAGGGGATTATCACGGAAACGGGCCCTCGTCTTGGGGGCCCCTGAAGGGTCAAAATCTTGCGAGCTGGACGCCCTGAGCGCTTGTCCCAGTTGTGAGAGCATAAACCGCACCCACAACCATAAAACCAGAACTCTCAGTACTGGCTAGAGGAAGGGCAAACAACCCTAACAACAAACAAGACCCAACAAACTAACAAACCCTCAACACCAGCTTGCAATGAGATCGGCCGTGAGATCCCGGCTCCCTGAAAAGCCCCTCCTTCTCTGACTCCTACCTAGAAACGCCTGGTTTATGGGTTTTAGGTTTATTGAGCTTGAATCTGCAGATTTTACTCTTGCGCGGAGTGCTAATCATCTTATATATACCAAGGCCGTGGAGCAAGATGGCAATGCCATGCGTTACGCTTCGCCCGCGCTGAAGTCGGACCCCGTCTTCGCGTAGCCCGGCCTACCCTATTGCGGTAAGCTTGTTGGGACCCAGTTGTTCTGTAAAGAAGGTCGCTTCCGGAATATCCAAAAAAGGCACGACAGATTGATTATGTGATTATGCCAAGGACGGTCAAGTGCCAAACCCACAACCCCATGGGACTCGAACGCAGGTGCCTCCAGGCATATGGCTTTCGAGTTGCCTTGGTGTCAGTGCACTGAGCCAAAGAATACATAGGGTATGACAGTCGTAGGCGTCGGTATCAGCATCATCAGAGTTCAGGCGTCTCGGCTTTCAGATCAAAGGGCCAACTACTCTCAATCGGAGACTCTAAACTGGAAACCGCCATCGAGGTTCGATAGCATAGGAATCGGGATTTATGTTTCCATAGGCATGTTTCCTTATAGTCTCTTAACATGTAGTACAAAAACATTCAAAAAATACCCAAAACCCTACTCTGTTTCACCCCGTTGGCTGCAGAGGCTCGAAGCAATCAAGAAGAACAGCGAGGCGATCCTTTACATCTCGAGAGATCTCCGCCTCTTGTCGACAAAAGGATGCTAGGCAAAATCAACTCCGGCTTCCTGGTTTGGGGTCCATGCGACTCACCCTAAGGGTCCATGTACTCATATAGTATATACATTGGCCTCAAAGTGCACCCTATATCGATACATTGGGCCCAAAGTATACACTATTTGGGTACATGGACCCTCAGGGTCAGTGATAGTGATACTCAGTGTAGGGCAGGTATTGGGAGGATGCAGCAGCCTTGAACACCGCAGCGTACCTTTGACGGGCCTCTAGTCTCGATTCCTCGCCGGCGACAGCCTGCAACACTGCAAAATTATACATTGCCATGCACAAGAAGACAGGAGAACAGACAACAGACTCTTGTAGTGGTAGCAGAATCTACGAGAAGCATCCGGAGAACAAGCATGACATCATCGCTCTTTTTGAATGGAAACTATGCTACGCTGTAACCAAACCCCTGAAAACCGTAAGTTAAGGCGCCTAGACTGCGAACCCCGAGCAACCAGACCTGGAAAGCCTGAGCTCCTTCTAAACACCCGTATAAAGGGAACTCCAGAAAGTTGGAATATGGTTTCAGGGTAGGATACCTTATAATTTACCATAAAGGGTATAGGATAATCATATTCCAACTTTCTGGCTTCTACTATACCCGTATCCCACTGAGCGCCGCAACTCTGCGCCCGAAGCTTCTAAAGCCGACATAATACAGGAACCTGATTCAGAAACCTTAGGCCCTTTATTAGGGTTCCTTTAAAGGGGTCTATAAGGGATCTACAAGGGTACTCTAATAATGTAGGAACCTGATGAAGAAATCCTGGGCCTGTATCAGAGTTCTTAGATGAATCCTAATTTTTTAGGGGTCATAGGCCCAGGGTTTCTTAATCAGGTTCCTACGTTACCGAAGTGCCGAAGCCGAAGCCTCAAGCCCAAACTATCTGGGAGTATCATTGCTAATTTTTCCGAGCCCCGCAATTTATCATCCAATTTATTTGGTTATTTCTCCGGAGAGAAACCTGAAGATTCTAGGAGAAGCCTCTGATTACAACCCCCAAGCCCTTAAACCTAAACTCTCCTTCCTAACCTATTAGGGGCCTAAGGAGGAGGCTAGATGGGAGTTGCCGAAAATGGGGGAGACTAATATAGCACCCTGAATAGTAGGATCCTTATTATAAGGACCCCAAAATAAGCTGCCCCTAATTTTTGGAAACTCTTAAACCCCTATAGAGACCTTTGAAGGAACCCTTATAGTACCCTTATTGTAACCCTTTAAAGGAACCTAAGGAACCCTAAGGTACCCGCCTGTTGTCAGGTCAGGACCCGCACTTCACCCTGCAGGCCGCTCTCTCGGGCTGCCACCTGGTCCTCGCAACTGGGTGGTTTTCGGATGATATGTGAGTTTTCGAAGATTGGGGGGGGGGGGTACCTTTAAAGGGGGTCTATGAGGGATCTGTAGGGTTTAGGGTTTGGGAGTTTCCGAAAATTAGGGGTACCTCATTTTGGGGTCCTTATAAATAAGGATCCTACTATTCAGGGTACTATAGTAGGGTCCCCAAACTCCCATATAGGGGCCTTAATAGTTAGCTTTAGTAAGAGACCATTAAATGGAAGCCTTAAAAGGCATCCCTTATAGAGATCCTATTCTACCTTATACTATTTTGTGGGTTCCTTATTGTATTTATGGTATGCCATAACCCAAAACCCTATTCTGTTTATAAAGGCCCTACAGTGTTCTGGGAGCTTCGGTATGAGTTTTTGACTGAAGGATTCGGGGTGGCTGAGTGCTTCAAGGTTTGGTACAGAATTCAGGATTGTCAGGTTCAGGCTTAAACCCCTGAACCCCAAACCCTGAACCTAAACCCTAAATCCCTAGAACATCCTAGAACCTCATCTACCATCGAAGTATCCTGCAATGCGGGCCTCGTCCTTGCTAAAGTAAGCGGGAAAATATCCCAACCACCCCCCCTCAAAAAAAAGCAACATCCTTGCAGCTTGAGGCTCCAGGGACCTCCTCGATCCGAGGTTGCGCGTTTGGCTGGAGCCTTGCCTGCCCAGATAAGAGGGGTTCAAAGCAGGGTTCCAGAAGGCTTCCCTTCAGTTGTATAGGGCCTTAACGGGGCCTGTCATGCTTCCATCAAGGGTTCTAAGGTACATGGGGTTTGTTTAAGGAAGCCTTTCTGAGGACCCTGCAGAAACAAAGGCATTTGCAGTTTCAGGTGGCATAAAGGCAATGCTATAGGACTTGAACATCCCAGTTTGTCGATTTAGGTGGCTTTGGGGACTTCGATTCGGAAGGTTCGGGCGATGTGGGGTTTAGTTAGTTTTGGCGCAGATTTAGACTCTGGGCTATAACTGCGCTGTCTCTCACATCGGGTGCTAGGCTGCTGGAGCAGAATCGAAGTGCGGCCAGGATCGGCGTCACGATTTTGAAAAAAACTCCGAAATGTGGACCGCTTTGCTCCGAGATGCCCGACGTGGGGTTGTGGGTTGCGAGGGCTCGCGGGCGTAGGGTGGTGCAAAGGTCATCGATCTGTAACCGGAACTTGGTCAAGAGGAAGTTGTGCACGTTTTCGGATTGGGGTTTTGGCCGTCCTGCAGGCAGATTTGTTTGCTGTTCCACGTCATACTTGCTGAGAACCAAAACGGTGTATACTGTATGACCCTAAGGGTCCATGTGCCCAAATAGTGGCACAATGTGTCGATGTAAGGAGTACTTCAAGGCCAATGTATATAATGTACGAGTAGATGGACCCTTAAATTGACGCAAATAACTACTATTCTGAAGGGGGACCAAGGCAAGATTAGACTCTTTCGACTTCCCCCCCGAGCTCAGGAGCAGCGAGATGAGCTCTTGGCCAGAATGCGGACTGCCATCGACGACCAAGATGTCTTCGGCGTCAGGGAGGCGCCACTGAACCCTCAAACCCTACTTGGAGGTTCATGGGTAGTCATATGTATATATATATATATATATTTATTTATTTATTTATACATATGCGTGGGGTTATATGTCGGCGATTAGCTATTTTCTAGCCCATATTCGGGGACTTATAGCCGAATAATATCTACCCAGGCCATGAACCTCCAAGTATTGCATGGGTCAGAGTAATTAGTCGCAACGCTCCCGCCGTGTTATACTGTACTAGACTAGGCCCTGTTCTAATTGAAAAGGCGCAATTACCACGTCTTCCAGTCGAGTCGAGCCCAGAGGCCCAACCGTATCTCAGGCTCAGGTACCCACGGAATTCCGCAGTGCGAAGTTCCCGTCATCCATGTGCCCTGCCCGAGATGGTCACCATGGCAGCTCCAGTCTCTCAGTTCAGTTCTGAACCACCATAGTGAAAGCTCCACAGCCCCGGCAATCCTGAAAGTGAGTGCCGACAGAGTGAACCCTTGAAGAGGTCATCAAGGATGGTGAAGAGCACGGTTTGTCAGCATCTTCGCTGCAACAAGGTCTTCACTTCCGCTCGAAACACCTCCAAATCCACAGAAACAACTTCGCAACCTCCAATTGACCTGAAAGAGACAAGCTGGGAAGCCTCTATCCAAACATGTCGGCTTCGTTTTGTTGACTCGCGTCCTGAGTTGCGGCTGTGACTAGACGACCCGGCCCCTCCAATTGAAGATAGGGCCCGACAGATGTTGAAGGGCTATGTGCTGGGAACATGATGTGCTTTCTTGCATTTTCTCCAATGATAAACCCTAAACCCCAAGGATCAAGATCTGCAAGAACCTCGAATGGCGCTCAAGAAGCTGGTGCCGTGGCAGCAGTGGAGCAGACGCGAAAGCCTTGCCTTCTGCCTTGACTGTTGAGCGAAAGCTTCATGGTCTCGAAGTTTGTATTGATACCTGCCTGTAGCTTGAAAACGTTTGCCTTTATGTGGCTCCTTACTATGCTTTCATTCCTGAACCGGCCGGTTTTTTTTTTGGGCCGCACATGTACTGGGTCTGCGAGGTCACCGAACAACATGACATCGGAGTATAGAATCAAGGGCAAGTACTGTGGGACTCTAGTTCGGCCCCATAGAAGGACCCAGTAAACAAGGAGGCGAGAGGTTTCAGGACCCACCCTGACCCACCCCCTCACCCGCAGGCGCAGGGATCCGCAGGGTTCACTGGCTTGAGTTATTTTGTGGGTTTACGAGACTGGGCGGGCCAATTTTATCGGCTCCCTGCAGACGACCCTTCACCCCAGAACTGTAGAACAACCCCTGCCCAGATCAAGTACAGTGAAGTTGGCAGCTTGTCGGGCGCTGAGCAAATGGGAAAGGGATTGCCCCTGATCCACGAACTTGGCTTTAGCGATACGGGTTTGAGGCATGGTTACGGCTTCGGGGTTTTGGGATATAGCCAGAAAGCCTTTGAGCAGGACGACAGCATTAAAGGCTGCGATTCAAGCCCCAAAGCCTCGAATGCCCAGCCGAGATTCTCCAGCTTAATTAGAACCCGAAGTTCCAAGACACCCTGTGGCCTAAAGCCTCATTCCTGAATTATTACTGCAAGTCGCGATACATCCTAAACTCCTGAACCATGGGTGCTCGGCGTTTCAGCAGACTGTGGGATTGGAAGCTTGGAGATCAGGGCGAAAGTTTGCACCTCGTTGAGAGTTTTTTCTGGTTCGGTGATTTGGCTCCAGGGCTTAGGGTTTAGAGGTTTCACCACTGCGAACCATATCAAGCCCCAAAGGCTACCAGGCAGGTTCTCGGCCTACGGGTCGTGCAGTCAAGGGTGTAAAGCTTTGAACAGGAGTGGGCTTAAAACACGATAACAAGCGAAGCAACACGCCCAAATATGATCGTGGGAAGCCAGGAGCCTTGAACCGAACGGGAAAGAAAGCCGTAAGCTGCTTCGAAGGACTTGCAGGTTTTAGTTTGAGACGTTTCGGGCTCGCGGCCTGTTTGCGGGCTTAGGTTTGGCATGGAGGGGTTGGTTTCGAGTTTCTCACTGGTCAAGTTGACATTTACTGTGTGAAGGTGGCGATGACGGGGTCGAACATTTCGTACATCCCTGTAAAGCTTCTGTGGTGTCTAAAGCAAGAGCTAGAGCAGCATCTAAGTCATCGCAGATGGAGATGCCACACCCTTCGTTCGGGGCGTCGAGCTCTGTCTCAGCAGTGTCCCCTTCGCTGTTCGTGGGCACATCTATCGGGGCTCTCCAATCAAACTTGTTTCAATCGCACTTAAGATCCGAGGTTGACTCAGTCCGACAAACAAAACCTATTCAACCCCAAATAACGTGCGTAATTAGCCCGTTTATCTGCTACGTCTCGGAACCTCACCCCGCCAACCTGATCTAAGTCCAAAGAGTTCCTTGCTAGGTGGGAGCCATTGCGACCAGGCGTTAGCAGCCTGGACGAAGACTTTCCACCGGGGTTTCTGGGTGCGGGTTTCACGTCCTGGGTGGTTATGGCAGCTGGATCAGCAACTTACACTTATCGTTCCATGCAACGTGTGCAAAACACAAGTACTTCCCCAGATTTCGGAGGTTCGAAACGGTCATGGGGCAGCAGCCTGCAGGCGTAAGAGCCTCCGTCGAATCTGATACCGTCTCACTACTTGGATTCAGGGTATAGGCTTTAGATGCATGGTTTCCCAGCTCAAATTAGAAAGCCGTGAGTCGCTGTTGGAGGCTTGAGACGAATTTCCTGGAGCGATGTCGCAGCATTTTTCGGATGAGTCATAAGCCTAGGTGGCGAGGCACCCATCGTTCTCTTGCGAGGCCTGGATGACCTGGTTATAGTCACGACTCGTAGTTCAGATGTGGCTTACAGGGCCGGTGTATGGAGCTTGGCACTAGATCCATCATACTTGGTACAGGCTGCGGGGGGCTCGTGTCTAGAGTTGGTCGGCATCATACATGTGTCAATAGAGCCTTTTGTCGTACAGGAATGATTGCCGTGATACTTGCGTTTATGAAGCGTTTCTTTCTGCGTTTGGGCGGCCGTCTAGCTAGCCGCAATAGATGTCATGAAGTGCGAGAAGCTACATTTTGCAAACAGCCGGCTGCCACTCTGGGTTCATGAAGACTCTTTGGAACCCCAAGCCCAATAGACCTTCAACACTCCTTCTATTCTATACCCGTACATATACAGCCTGGTAAAAGCCTTCTTACCCGAATAAGCCGAAACCCTGCGCCCTAGAGCCATAGACATATTTTTATCGTTACCAACACTATTCCTTCGGTTTCCATATTAGTTACACAATACATATGGGAGTTTCCGAAAATAGGGGACCCTGACATGATACCATATAGTACCCTAAATAGTGGGATCCTCATTATAAGACCCCAAAATGAGGTACCCCTAATTTTAGGAAACTCTCCCCCAAAGCTGGTCGCATGGAGGTTCCTGGCTCGCCGACTTGGCGAAGGCGGGCGGCCGCCTCCCAAGGCGCCAGGAGCTTCCCAGGGAGGCGATCTGGGCCCCTCGGCTCCCTTTGTTCTGGATTCCGCTTTAATAAAGAGACCTTAATAGAGGCCTCAATAAGGCTTGATAATTGCCCATACTCTTTCGGGGGTTCCTTAGTATAGTATAATGGGCCCCACAACCTTAGTCTGATCATCGAGGCCCTTCTGTGAGGGTTCAGGGTTCAGAGCAGCTTCCGGACCTGTGCTTGTGCGTCGGCTTCAGTCAATATGGTTGCAGGTGGTGATCTGGCTAGACCCAGAGACTCCAATATCCCTTAATTAAGGAATATTCCTTAAATTCTAGTAGGATCCCTAATATGATTTAAGGACTATTCCTTAATTAAGGGATATTGGAGTCTCTGGGGACTTGAGTCCAGTGGCTTTTTCTTAGATAGCGAATGGGAGAACCTTACACTTTTTGGCCTTATATACATTAGCTCTATCTCACAAAATTTGAACTTTTTGGGGCCCGGTTGTTGAAGAAGAGAGATTAAAAAGGGTTTGGGGTTGAGGGGGGTCTCAAGCCCAGTTGCAAAAAGGTTTTTGCTTTGCGGGCCGCAAGGGGTGGGGTGGGGGGGGGGGGGGCGGGCATTTAAGGGCCTCTATGACCTAAGGGTCTCAGATATGACCTAAGGGTCTCAGAGATGTAACTTGGGGAGAGCTGCGATGGGGTTTAAGAACTGCCAGGCGGCGAGGCTTGCAACAGGTCTGGGCTTGAAGAAGGATCTACATTCTAGATCAGGGTTCAGTGTCCAGTTGGGGCAGGATCCCTCATGAAACTACTACTGGGCTATAGATACCGTATGGGAGCCGTGGCCTGGAACATATAGGCTTTATAAGCTTTTGCTAGAGCTAAACCCCATGCACAACTTGTTTGTTCATCCCGAACCCGGGGCCTTCAAAGCCTTAGGCTGTTTAGGGTTTATAGGAGTTAAGGAGTTCGGGCTTTAGGGTTTAAAGGGTTTAGCGTCATACCCCCAAAAAAGCAAGGGGGCCATGGAGAAGATCTAATCCCCCCAAAAAAGAGTAGTAATCATCGTACATGATCCTAAAAAGAATTCAATTAATTGATAATTTGTTCTAATCACATTATTAGCAGTAATGATCGTACAGCAACACTCAACCGCTTATTTGCTCATTCGCTAGCTTCAGGCTTTATAGGGACTAGTGTAGACTTTTGTTATCTAGAGAACAACTGGGAGCAGTGCTGCTGTTTGCGAGCATGATTACGCACCATTCGTACTTTCTTTCTGTTGCACCACTCTTCGCAGTCCAGCCTCAACTGAGGACTGCGATGAGCTGGAAAAAGACGCTGAGGATTGTTTTCATGCAACTGGCTTTGAGACAGGCTTTCAGTTCTGTCGGTTATTGTCGCAACGAATGCTGCCATGCATGCGATCGTGACAACTTTTTGCCGGTTACATCAAGCGGGCCTCATTCATTTTCCCAGGCCATTCTAGCCGCCAGATGTCAATGTCGGTGCCGGAAACCCTAGAGCAATAGAACTTGTAGTCCTTATCAATTTGTCTGCGGCGCTCGCGGCCAGGATTTCGACAAAGGGCGGCACCAGCTAGCCACCAGGGTGGTGGCAATTTCGTGCACCAGTTGCAAGCCAGTTCGATACTTCGTGTCAGTTGGATTTATTTGTCATGGTTCTGTTCATTGTTACGACTATTGTGCTGTGGGGATTTCAGTCGGACACCTGCAGAAGCCACGCCCCCCGACCATGACCAGCACCAACTAAAACTTACAGAACTCACATGGTAGTTTCCGAAAATAGGGGACCCTAATTTAGTACCCCGAATAGTCGGATCCTTATTATAAGGACCCCAAAATAAGGTCGCCCCCAATTTCCGAAACTCCCACATGCCACCATCGAGTGATAAAATGCCATGCAGTTGTCCAGAAGAAGAGCCTCGAAGCG